CCAAACAGCAAAAAACACAAGATTTTCAGTTGTGGGAATATCCCGGTTCTGAGCTGAAAATCCACATCTTGTCTGAATGTCCTTGCAATTGGAAATCACTGGATTTTTTTATCTAGGTTTGTTCCTGGGTTTTAGATGTTTGTTCCTGATTGGTCAGTTCCTAAAATAAAGGTGACACTTGAGTAGAAGGCAAAAACTTTGTTTGTGTGCCAGAAACTTTATGAAATGTGTGGAGGGCACATTTTCTCTGGCCAGGACAAAGTTGACTTTGGAGTCCCTGGTGGCACAGTGGGTTAAACCCTTGTGCCGGCAGGACTGAAGACCAATAGGTCACAGGTTTGAATCCAGGTAGAAGCGGATGAGCTCCATCTATCAGCTCCAGCTCCTCATGCGGGGACATGAGAGAAGCCTCCCACAAGGATGATAAAAACATCAATTCATCCGGGCGTCCCCTGGGCAATGTCCTTGCAGACGGCCAATTCTCTCACACCAGAAGCAACTTGCAGTTTCTCAAGTCGCTCCTGACATGACAAAAAAAAGTTGACTTTGTACGTCTTCACAATAAGAGCAACCAGGAACAGACATGTATAACCCAGGAACAACACCCTGTCTGAACAGATGGCCCTGCAGCTTATATAACCCAGAAATGGAATTTGGACAATGATTTGCATCTTCACATGTTCGCATCTTAAGGCTTAAAAAAATACCCACTGAAGTTTCTGGTGGCCATCTTAGGAGACCTCTAAATCCCACAACGAAGCAGCAAGTGTGGACGGCAGAGTCAGAAATCCTGGGACCAACAGGTCTCTATGTGGACCTCTTCTGAAGTCCTGGGTTTTTTTTGGCCCTGATTAAAACCAATGATTTGCTGCTATTCTATTTGCTATAGAAACATAGAGTTGGAAGAGACCACATGGGCTATCTAGTCCAACCTCTGACTTGCAGAAAAAGCACAATCAAAGCACCTCTAACAGATGACCACTCAACCAAAAAAGGAGCTTCCACTACACTCTGGGGCAGGGAATTCTGTTGGGCGAGTGGGCTTGTTCACATGAGGGCTTCTCATACTGAGGTCTTACAGATGAAGGCCTACCTCACACTGTATGACCTTATCACAGACAGAGACCTTTCTCCCACTGAGGTCTACCTCAGACTGACACCTAGTGTGCAATTGGAATATCCTTTCCTGTCATTTGAGACTCAGTGGCAGAAAAACAAAGGTGGCATGGAAAGCCATCTAGGTAGGTAAGTATTTACTAAAATGACCATTTCTTCAGCTCCTTTACACCAGGCATGTAATGTGTGTGTGTGTGTGTATGTGTGTGTATATATATATGTGTGTGTGTGTTTGCATGTATGCCTGAAATCTAATGAGATTATAGGAGACCCATTGCATCCATGGGATTCACCTGCATTCAGCAATCAAGTCAATAGGTCTACTCTAGTTGGGACTTCTTGGGAGGAGAGCAATGTCCAATCTCGATAAAATAGTAAAGAGACATCACATTGGCAACAAAGATCCGCATAGTCAAAGCCATGGTATTCCCTGTAGTAACCTACGGATGTGAGAGCTGGACCTTAGGGAAGGCTGAGCGAAGGAAGAGAGATGCTTTTGAGCTGTGGTGTTAGAGAGTGCCTTGGACTGCGAGAAGATCCAACTAGTCCATCCTCCAAGAAATAAAGCCTGACTGCTCATTGGAGGGAAGGATACTAGAGACAAAGTTGAAGTACTTTGGCCACATCATGAGGAGACAGCAAAGCCTAGAGAAGACAATTATGCTGGGGAAAGTGGAAGGCAAAAGGAAGAGGGGCCGACCAAGGGCAAGATGGATGGATGGCATCCTTGAAGTGACTGGACTGACCTTGAAGGAGCTGGGGGTGGTGACGGCCGACAGGGAGCTGGTCCATGAGGTCACAAAGAGTCGGAGACGACTGAATGAATGAACAACAACAAGTTGGGACTAACCAACAATGAGACAATTTCAATGCTGTCATCAGGGTAGCAGCATCTGTTCACAGCTTGGAAAAGTTAGATTTTTCTAGGCTACGTGTCCCAGAATCCTCCAACCAATATGTCAGCTGGGAAAGCTGCAGTCCAACCTATGTCACTCTTTAACACTCCTAAAGTTCTGTTTGTGAGATGCTTTAGGCCAAATTTTGTATTTGTGTGTTTTTGGTGTTCAAATGTTTGTTCTCTTTGTTGGAAGAAAAAGATGTAGGTAGATCAAAGAGAGCATCTGTCAGAACCGTCTTTTTCACAGAGACCAGCCAGATGTATGTTGGTTTCTATAATTTGTATCCTACCTTTCTGTATCAAGATAGAAACACAGAATAGTCACAAAGCTCACTTTTTAAAAATAGGGTACAAAGCAAGAATTTATTTTCAAAACCACAGTTATTTTCAAAAGAGTTGTCTTTTCATCTATCCTCAGAGTCAGGCCCGTAGCCAAGATTTTGATTTCGGGGGGAGCTGAGTTTGATTGGGGGGGGGGGGGGGCTGAGTCTGAGTGAAAGAGGGCCTACCCTAGCAAACCTTTTATATCGTTACCCCAATACCCCCATGCATATGGGATATATTGAGCATGGTGATCAGATCATGATATGAATAAACATAACAGTTTAAATAATGTACCAGTAAGGCCTTCTCGCGGACCACCCTGAGAATTTCGGGGGGGGGGGGCTGAAGCCCCTCAAGCTCCCCCCCTGGCTACATGCCTGCTCAGAGTTTACCTAAAAGTTATCAGGGATTGACCTGTCATTAGGCAGAGTGAGGGAAGGAAATGGGTTGCTGTGAGTTTTCTGGCCTATATAGCCATGTTCTAGAAGCATTCTCTCCTGACATTTTGCCCACATCAATGGCAGGCATCCTCAGAGGTTGTGAGGTCTGTTGGAAACGAAGCAAGTGAGGTTTATATATCTGTGGAATATCCAGGGTGGGAGAAAGAACTCTTGTCCGCTTGAGGCAGGTGTGAATGTTGCAGTTAATGGCCTTGCAGCTTCAATGCCTGGCTGGTTGATGCCTTGTTGGGACGTGTTAACTGGCCCTGATTGTTTCCTGTCTGGAATTCCTGTTTTTTTGGGTATTGCTCTTTATTTAATGTCCTGGTTTTAGAGTTTTTAAATTACTGGTAACTAGACTTTGTTCATGTTCATGGTTTCCTCCTTTCTGTTGAAATTGTCCACATGCCTGTGGATTTCGATGGCTTCTCTGTGTAATCTGACATGTTAGTTGTTAGAGTGGTCCAGCATGTCTCTGTTCTCAAATAATATGCTGTGTCCAGGTTGGTTCATCAAGTGCTCTGCTCTGAACTCTTAACTCTAGAATCAGGACAGTAACAGTAAAAAAGCAGGGGAATTCCAGATCAGAATCAATCACGGCCAGCTAACACCTCCCAACAAGGGATTCCCCTAAGCAGAAACCAGCTAGGCATTGAAACTGGAAGGCCATTCAGTGCTAATCAATGTGGCCAATTGCTACAGTATTTTATTTGTCGTGTCAGAGCAACCAGTCCATTATATTACATTTCTAACAGAACAAAGCAAACAAACAGACAAATACAAAACTTGTGAGTTTAGTAGTTGGTTAAATGTCCTTTGACCAGTATCTGGCCACTTGGAGTGCTTCCGGTGTTGCTGCAAGAAGGTCCTCCATTGTGCATGTGGCAGGACTCAGGTTGCATTGCAGCAGGTGGTCAGTGGTTTGCTCTTCTCCACACTCGCATGTCGAGGATTCCACTTTGTAGCCCCATTTCTGAAGGTTGGCTCTGCATCTCGTGGTGCCAGAGCGCAGTCTGTTCAGTGCCTTCCAAGTCGCCCAGTCTTCTGTGTGCCCAGGAGGGAGTCTCTCATTTGGTATCAGCCATTGGTTGAGGTGTTGTGTTTGAGCCTGCCACTTTTGGACTCTCGCTTGCTGAGGTGTTCCAGCGAGTGTCTCTGTAGATCTTAGAAAACTATTTCTAGATTTAAGTCGTTGACGTGCTGGCTGATACCCAAACAGAGCTGGAGATGTCTCTGCCTTGGTCCTTTCACTATTGGCTGCTACTTCCCGGCGGATGTCAGGTGGTGCAATACCGGCTAAGCAGTGTAATTTCTCCAGTGGTGTAGGGCGCAGACACCCCGTGATAATGCGGCATGTCTCATTCAGAGCCACATCCATTGTTTTAGTGTGGTGAGATGTGTTCCACACTGGACATGCATACTCAGCAGCAGAGTAGCATAGCACAAGCAGATGTCTTCACTGTATCTGGTTGTGATCCCCAGGTTGTGCCAGTCAGCTTTCGTATGATATTGTTTCTGGCACCCACTTTTTGCTTGATGTTGAACAATTGCAACAGTCGCACCTGCAACAAGCAGTCAAGAGTTCTTTCTCTCACCCTGGACATTCCACAGATATATAAACCCCACTTGCTTAGTTTCCAACAGATCCATCAATCTCTGAGGATGCCTGCCATAGATGCTGGTGAAACATCAGGAGAGAATGCTTCTGGAACAAAACTCAACAGCAACCCAGTGATTGTGGCCATGAAAGCCTTCAACAACACAGCAATCGGTGGTTTTGCTAGAGGGGGGCTTTTGGGGCTTCTAGTGCAAAACAGTAGACAATTATTGGGATTCAAATAACAATTCACCTGCCACCAATATCATGTCTGCATGCAATCTTTAACTCAGTGGTTCTCAAACATTTCCGGCCTACAAATCCTAGATGTTCTGACTAGCATGTTGAATGTTAAGGGATTAAAAATGGGGCCCTTTCGAGGGCCAGTTGCAAATAACTCAAGTGACTTCTGAAAAGAGTGTGAGCATCTATGGAATGGTGAGATAAAATATCAGGCTGTTTCTTCACATCCAGCCTAATGTATGATGTGCGGAAAACAAGTTTTGTTTCTTTGGATGCTTTCCCAAATATTTTCAAACCGTGATTGATTGAGTCTGTGAGTGCAGAATGTATGGCTATGGGGGAACCACCTGTCCTAATACTATTCTTCTCCCCTGTTCTCTAGGTCAGCGATGAGAGGCCCGAGGGGAAGGTGCGAGGAGCTTTTGCGGGGCTGGTCCGAGGCCCCGTGGCTAGAGAAGCCGAGAGCTGGTCTCCAGGCCCATCTGGCGTTTGGGAAGCTGTCAGCAAGGAGAGGCAGAGGGCAGAAGATGAGAAGAAGAAGAAGGTGAGTGAATGAGTGAGTGAGTGAGGAGGGCAAGGTGTTTTTCTTGGGGACATAATAGCAGTGGGGCTGCCTTTGGAAAATGTTTGGAATCTTCAGTTGGTTCAAAGAGCAGTATAGCAAACAGATGGGGAGTGGGGAGAGGAAGGCAGACCTTTGCCACAGCAGCAGGCAAAGAAAACCAGGCACACACTGAAATGGCAGGGAATAGGTTTTGAGGAAAGGAGACAAAGAGAGGTCCAGAGGTTTGAAAGCACGGATTTATTTACCAGCTGGGGCCTGGCGTGGAGTCAACTCCCCAAAACACCAGAGCAAATGAAATAGGTGCGGACTGTGGCTTTTATAGTTTTCCAGCTTCAAGCAAACAAAGAACATGCTACAAAATACATCATCGTCATCCCTACGTCATCTGAGCATCATAAGAATACCAGGTTCCCCCTCCAACATATGAAAAAGCATGTCTGTGTCTTGCTGCAGAGCAAGCATCTTACACTCATCCATCAAAGGGCCCTCTCTGAGATGTCAAGAAGCTTCTTAGTACCAGTCCATTGCTCCTAGTATGGGCTTCTCGGACAGGCTTATCTCTCTTCTGGAATGTAGAGATAACATGCCCCCCCTTCCTCTTGGCTGTGCCTGGGATGTAGCCCGCTTGTCAGCTTGGGTTTCTTACACACAGAGAGAGATTTTTCTATGCATTTCAGTGTTTGTAAGGTACATATGATTTTATGCATAAATCAATCAATAAATATTTATTTTTCCAATATCTCCTCATCAATATAAGATGGAGGACAAAAGGCAAACAACAAGGCTTGGCCCAAGGCGAGGCCGTGAGGGAACCAGTGCACACATGCACACTCACTCTCACAAAACCAGACTGTGGTTTTGCCTTTGCTCTCTCCAATTTCTTAATAAAGGTTTCTTTCACTGCCACCACTTTATTATTTTCTCAAGCCACCTCCTTTACTAGGATTTTTATAAAGCCACACAAAGACTTCAGTTAGAACAAAACAGAATTTGTTGTTTATTTAGAACAACCAATAAGCGTAATGGTTGCAGATAATTTGTCAGGCTTTTCTTGTTACAGCGGATGGTATTTCTATCTTGAGTTTCTTTAAACAAAGCTTTCCACACAGAAATCCAAACAGGAATCTTTTGAAATCTTCCTTCACAGCTCTCTAAACACTATAGAGGCCTATTAGCAGTTCCCAAATCTCTTCCTTCCTTCCTTCCTTCCTTCCTTCCTTCCTTCCTTCCTTCCTTCCTTCCTTCCTTCCTTCCTTCCTTCCTTCCTTCCTTCCTTCCTTCCTTCCTTCCTTCCTTCCTTCCCCGCTTCAAAACTCCTGGTCCTACTTCTTCCCCACCAAACTCCTAACTGCTCTAAAAATGGGTGCTGTCTTCTTCCCTTTGGCTCTGGCTCCACCCATATCCAGCTACTGAACTTTTCCCTCCAATTTTATCAGCCAATCAGACTACAATTCTGGCTTAAAGACTGCCTGATTGTTCCACCCCTCAGCTCTGCTTAGCTTTAGCAAGCTGGGCCTGGTTTCTGCCTTTCTACACCAACCATTTATACACCAGCCCTTCAGGTTAGGCCAATCCGTTACAAGCAACAACCAGTCTGCTAACTGGGACTAGCTACAGGAAGTGGACAACTCTTCTGTTGCAACAGCTTTGCTGGTTGCCAACACATTTCCGGGCACAATTCAAAATGCTGGTTTTGACCTACAGAGCCCTATATGACTCCGGTCTAGGATATCTGAAGGACTGTATCTCTTTCTGTGAACTGGGGAAACATCTACTAGGGAGGGTCTTATCTAGGTCCCACCACCTTCTCAAGTGTGCTTGGTGGAAACTCAGGAGATGAGGGTCTTTTCGGTGGCTGTGCCTCCCAGAATATGGAACTCCCTCCCAAGAGAGACCCGGAAACAAAGAGAGACAAGAAACAATCAGGGCCAGCTAATCACCTCCTAACAAAGGATTCCCCCAGCTGGACCTTGAAACTGCAAGGCTATCCAATGCTAATCAAAGTGGCCTAATGGCAACATTCACCCTTGCCTCAAATAGACAAGAGTTCTTTCTTCCACCCTGGACATTCCACAGATACATCAATCCTACTTTCTTAGTTTCCAACAGATCTCCCAACCCCTGAGGATGCCTGCCATAGGTGTGGGCAAAATGTCAGGAGAGAATGCTTCTGGAACATGACCATACAGCCCAGAAAACTCACAGCAACCCAATGAATGAAAACTTTGCAAGAGGGCATTATACAAAATGTTGGATTTAAACTTCCTGGCTGAATCTTTACAAGAAGCAGGATGTAGTTTTCAGGTTGGAAACCCACTCCAGTTCCAAAAGCTTCTGTGTTTGCATTGATGACTGTGGCTGTTGGTTGCCTGATTTCTTCCTCCTCCTTTTTCCCAGCTGGAGATGCTTAGCAATTCCAGGCTGAAGCTGGACAGCCTGGAGGACTTGCAGGCTATTATTAAACTTCGCAAGGAGAGGAAGAAGGTGAAGAAAGTGGTCCGCCCCAAGAAGAAAGAGCCGGAAGAGATTGTGAGCATCCAACAACTTTATTCAAAATAGAATTGGGGAAAGGTTCTGCTGTTATTCTTGTTACAGTATTCCTGGGTATTCTGCCTTTATTTTAAAGGCTTGGGTTTTTAGTAGCTGATAAAACAAATACAAATAAAACAAATACAGCTAAAGAATTGGCATCATGGAAAAGTTAAAAATATCATTACCATACTATACTGAAGCTCTGTTGTGTGGAAATTTTGGCTTTTAAGTTTTATTTATTTACTAGCTTGGGGACCCAGTGGTGCCTGGGTTATTTGAGAAAGGCATTGTGTGCCAAGGTTGGTCTTTACCAATTATTTACGTGGCTTGCAGTGGTCTAAGGAAGTTAGTGAAGGTACTGCGAGTCCCATCGTCCATGATCCATCCTCCTCCAAACAGCACCAGGATGTAGAGTGGGTCATGGGGTCTCTGTGTGCCAATATTGGTCTTGATCGGTCATTAGATGAGGGTTGCAGGGGTTTCGGGAAGTGAGTGAAGGTACTTCAACTCCCATCATCTGTGGTCTATCCTCAAAACTGCACCAGGATGTAGAATGGGTCATGGGGGCTCAATGTACCAAGTTTGGTCTTGATCGGTCATTGATGAGGGTCGCAGTGATCTTGGGAAGTGATTGGAAGTACTTCAAGTCCCATTATCCATGGTGCATCCTCCTCGAAACTGCACCAAGATGTAGAATGGGTCATGGGGGTTCTGTGTGCCAAGTTTGGTCTGGATCAGTCATTGAATGAGGGTCGCAGTGATATTGGGAAGGGATTGGAGGTATTTCAAGTCCCGTTATCCATGGTGCATCCTCCTCGAAACTGCACCAAGATGTAGAATGGGTCATGGGGGCTCTTGTGCCAAGTTTGGTCTTGATTGGTCATTGGATGTGGGTCGCAGTGATCTTGGGAAGCGATTAGAGGTACTTCAAGTCCCATTATCCATGGTGCATCCTCCTCGAAACTGCACCAAGGTGTAGAATGTGTCACGGGGCTCTGTGTGCCAAGTTTGGTCTGGATTGGCCATTGGATGAGGGTTGCAGTGGTCTCAGAAAGTGAGTGAAGCTGAGTCAGAAAATTGCATTGGATAGACTACACCAGCTCTAGCTTCTTAGATATAATTATCATGGTTTTTGGTGGGTGACTGGCATATGCTATATGTTGTGCATCTCAAAAACTAGCACTGATGGGTGGAAACTGGGGCCACTTTTTGAATCAGCCGCTCAAATAGGGCTGAGCTTTATGGATAATGGGACTTAGCCCAGCTTCTGCCTACCTAGCAGTTCAAAAGCAAAATTTCTTTATTTATTTACAGAATTTATATTCCGCCCTTCTTACTAACCCGAAGGGAACTCAGGGCGGATCACAGAACACATACACAGCCAACATTCAATGCTTTTAAACAGATAGGGCAGACCACAGATAGAGGTATTATGTCGGCATTTTTCCCAACTTCGGCGTTCTGGAGGTTGTGCTCGATTCCGGCCACAGGGGGTTCTCTCGCTCCATCCTCTATGATGAAGAGCCTTGATCGCAGAATTCCTCCCTTTGATCGGCATTTTTCTGATATTTCTCTTACCGTAAAATACCTTCCCGCTTAAGCGGCAACAAATTTCTCTACTCACCGCTTGCAGCTGTTTTCGAACTGCTTAAGCAGACAGAAAGCTGTGCTGAAGGTCGGGTGCCCACCCCGACCCGTGCTTTGAACTGCCAACCTTTCGATTGGTAAGATCTATTACTGCTGGTGATTAACCAGCTGTGCTAAAGCCCAAGTAGATAAATAGGTATCACTTAACGTGAGGAGGTTTAAGGCACCCATAAGCTGGCCAATGGCAACATTCACACCTACCTCAAACAGGCAAGAGTTTGTTTTCCCACCCTGGACATTCCACAGGTATATAAGCCTCATTTTCCTAGTTTCTAACAGACCTCACAACCTCTGAGGATGCCTGCCATAGATGTGGGTGAAATGTCAGGAGAAAATGCTTCTGGAACATGGCCAGACAGCCCAGAAAACTCACAACAACCCACAAATCTCTATAAATAAAAATGTAATGTTCGTTTTTGGAATTAACAGAACTCAATAACCACTGGACGAATTGACACCAAATTTGAACACAATACACTTAACAGTCCAACAAGTGTCCATCACTCATAAACACATGCGCGCGCGTGCACACACACACACAAAACCCCAGTGGAACAGAATTAAAAAACCCCAAAATACACCATATATACATATACACATACACATATATTTGCACAAACACACACAAATATACACATATACACACATACATATGCATATACACATATGTACATATACACATGCACATATACATGCACACACATACATATCCACATACATACATATATACACACAAATATGCATATAGACAAGCACACACATAAACACAATATGCATGTACACATATAAACACACAATTACACAAATATATATATACACACACATATATGCACACACATACATATATAAACACACAAAACACATATACACAGACTGGACCACAGCAACACGTGTCAGGGGACGGCTAGTAAATAATAAATAAATATACCCAGAAACAGGGCTAACCTTTGAGGCACCAAAATGTGTGTTGCTCAGTGTTATCTTTATAACTAACTACAACAAGAACTTTAAGCCCATTTAAGTTATTTCCTCTAGGAATTTACTTTGAGAGAAGTCACAATTGATGTGTGTAGGGACTGGAAGTGAGCTAATTTCAAGGCGTTTGGTCATTTCTGCGGTTTCAGGTCTCCCTTGTCTTGCTGAGAACATGTTCCCTCCCCCCGAGAGATACGAGGGTCTTACTCTAGTGAATCAATACTGGGTGCCTTCCTCTGTCAGCTTAACTGGCTTCTCTGCTCCTTAGGTAGGGCCTGTAGGCCCAGCGCAGTTCCTCCAAGCAGCGCTGGACAACAGGCTTCCGGTGATCGAGAGGTTCCTGGCCGACGGAGGGGACCCCAATGCTCACGACAAGGTAGGTCCTGGAGGGCTGAAAATGGACCCAGTGTTTGCAGCCCAATAAAACAGAGAAAGGGGGCAAACAATTTGATATCACTTTAGTCTTCATGCGGCATGCTATCCAGCCCTAGGATTTGTAGTTTTTGTGGGGCAACAGGGAAATCAATGCAACCCATAAAATTACAGGCCCCAGGATTCCCTAAAAATGGGATAAATGTACTACAATTGTGAAAGGCAGCCGTTCTCAACCTGGGGTCCCCAGATGTTTTTAGCCTCAAACTCCCAGAAATCCTAATAGCTGGTAAACTGGCTGGGATTTCTGGGAGTTGTAGGCTAAAAACATATGGGGACCCCAGGTTGAGAACCACTGGTGTAAGGCATGACTGTCCAAAATTATAAAAATCTAGATTTCAAGGCTGAACCAATTCTATATTCCTGACACACAAATGCCCCCTGCTGGCTGCGGGAAGTATTGCCTCAAAGGAATCATTAAAGAATCATTAAAAGGCATGTTCACTGGTTAGTGAACCTCCAGCTCCTCATGTGGGGACATAAGGGAAGCCTTCCACAAGGATGGTAAAAAGATCATAACATCCTGGTGTCCCTTGAGCAACGTCCTTGCAGACAGCCAATTCTCTCACACCAGAAACAACTTGCAGTTTCTTAAGTTGTGGTCCACTCACATTTTGATCAGCAAGTTCAGCAGCTCAGCAGTTCTATCTATCTATCTATCTATCTATCTATCTATCTATCTATCTATCTATCTATCTATCTATCTATCTATCTGTAACTATAGCTTTGGATAGCATAGGGAAGGGTGAACACTCCTGTTTGCTTTGCTGTCCCTGTTTAGAAGGTTTTGCATCACTTTCTGGCCCTGTGAGAACTCGATTTTGGAAAATGTGATTTATTGTGCAAACAAGGATTGGAGATAAAGCTTCTTTGGAGCCCCTTTTCCCCATGATAATAACTCTTCCTGGAGTGAATTTCCCTTCCTTCTGAGAATATTTCTCTCACTTCCTGTTGTCTCAGCCCTGTCCTTAACTAGTGGTTGGACATAAGTCGTATGTTTGTAACTTGGGGACTGCTTGTATTACTTATGCTGACAGGGGTTTCCTTTGTCTGTGCCTTGCAGTTGACACAGAGCAACTTTGTTCTGGGAAGGATGCCAATTGTCTCTCTTAACAGGGATGGGCGGAGGCTTGTATGGGTCAGGTATCCCCAAACCACGTGCCAATACCCTTGTTTTGTGTCTTTCCGGCTGCAGTTCAGATGCACGGCCCTGCACCGGGCCTCCTTGCGTGGCCACATGGAGGTCGTGGACAGGCTGCTGGAGGCTGGAGCCAAGCTGGAGCCCAGGGACATGGTGAGTGCCATTATCCAATGGGATAATACCTGCAGGTCCAACACTTGACTGCTCTTGGAGCACTACAGTTATAATGGGAATGGGAGAAAGTGGCTTTTGCACAGAGCAGGAAATATCCTAGAGTTGGAAGAGACCCCCAAAGGCAATTCAGTCCAGCCCTGTTATACCTCATTTTTTAGTAAAGGCCATCCAGCCATTTAGTAAAGGTCTATCCAGTGTCTAGATCCAGGGAAGTCATGCTCCCCATGCTTCGGAGCTTCTGTTCAACCATCTCAAAGCTCCCTGCTTGGGCGGTGATGGCACGATCGTCAGCATAGATGAAACTCTGTGTCCCTTCTGGCAGTGGCTGGTCATTTGTGTAAATGTTAAACATTGATGGAGCAAGCATGCTCCTCTGAGGCAGGCTGTTCTTCTGTTTTTGCCATCTGCTTCTCTGGCCTTGGAATTCAACAAAAAAGCTCCTGTTTTGTAGCAGATTTCCTATGAAACGGGTGAGGTGGTAGTCCTTTGTAATATTATAATTTTTTGTCAGGAGAAGGTGATGATCATATGCTGCTGACAGGTCTATGAAGACAGCACCTGAAGACAGCTGTGGTCTTGAAATGCAGCTTTTCTGAATGTTTGACTATGTCTGTCCTGTACATGCTCTGGCTTTCCCTACTTGTGGATTAATCCTGTTCTTTTTCTGGACCCAGCTGGAAGCCACCCCTATCCTGTGGGCCTGTCGTGGGGGCCATTTGGAGATCCTCAAGCGCCTGATCAGCCAGGGAGCCAAAATCTCCACACGTGACAAGGTGAGAGCTCCACGGGCTGCTGGCTTGATTCTCACACAATTCAAAGTGCTGCTGATGAAATATAAAGCCCTACTAGTTGGGGACCTAGTGAAGCCCGGGTTACTTGAAAAATGCATTGTTGGTTTTGAAGTGTTAGGTAATATCAGTTCGGTAATTTGTAACACTATTTATTAGAAAAAAGTCAGTCTTTGCTTTTGTTTTTTATGAATGCTCCGATTAGAAAATGCATACGAAGGTATGTGAACAATTCCCAAAATTGTGGGGCAATCCTTCCCAAGCTCTGCCAGTATTTACAGTTGGCCATGTTGGGTCTGTGTGCCAAGTTTGGTCCAGATCCGTTGTTGGCTGGGTTCAGTGCTCTCTGGATAAGGGCAAACTACAACTCCCAGATCCAAGGTCAATCACCCCCTAACCTCACCTATACAAACAGTTGGCCATATTGGGTCTGTGTGCCAAGTTTGGTCCAGATCTGATGTCGGTTGGGGGTTCCGGTATCCCCTTCTCCTCAATGTGACACCCTTGAAAATCTTGAAAAATGTTTCTCATGTTCCCTCTCTAGCTTCTCTCCTCTCAGCTGAACACCCCTCAGGAGGAAAGGAGGAAGGAAAAAGAGAAGGGAAGGAGGGAGGAAGGGAAGGATGGGAGGAAGGAAGGGTGGGAGGGAATGGAGGGAGGAAAGAGAAGGAAGGAAAGAAAAGGGAAGGAAGGGAGGGAAGAGAAAGAGAGAGGGAAGGAGAAAGGAAAGAGTGAAGGAAGGAAGAATGAAAGGGTGGAAAGGAACGAGGGAGGGAAGGAGGAAGGAAAGAGGGAAGGAATAAAGGGAGGAAGAGAATGATGGAAGGAAAGAAGGGTGGAAGGAAATTAATGGAGGGAAGGGAGGGAGGAAAGAGAAGGAAAGAAAGAAAAGGAAAAGAAGGTGGGGGAAGGAGGGAAGAAAGAGGGAAGGAAGGAAGAAAGAGTGGAAGGGAAGGGATGGAGAAAGAGGAAGGGAAGGGAGAGAGGGAAGGAGGAAAGGGAGGAAGAGAAGGTAGAAGAAAGGGTGGAAGGGAGGGAGGAAAGAGAAGGAAAGATAAAAGGGAAGGAAGAAGAAAGAAGGGAGAAAAAGGGAAGGAAGGAAGAACAAAAGGGTGGAAGGGAAAGAAAGAGGGAGGGAAGGAAAGAGAGAAGGAAGAAAGGGAGTAAGAATGGAAAGAAGGAAAGCAGGCAGGCAGAGAGGGAGGGAGGGAGGGAGGGAGGGAGGGGGGAAAGAGAAGGAAGGAAAGACAAAAGGGAAGGGTGGAAAGGAAGGAAGGAGGGAGGGAAGGAGGAAAGAAAGAGAGAAGGAAGGAAGATAGGGTGATAAGAGAGAGAAGGGCTTGAGAAAAGAGCCCAAGAAGCCGCATCCATCCCCTGGCCCTGGGTTCGCCCATACCTGATCTAGACAATGTCTCCGGAGGACATACTTGAATTGAAATTGTGAAGTCTATTCCCATGGAAATGGGGGTTGAACTGTTATTATTTTGGGAGCTGGGTGTGGATCTGATGGTCTTCCTTTGCCCGGCAGTTGTGGAGCACCCCTTTGCACGTGGCTGTCCGGACAGGGCACTGTGATTGTGCAGAGCACCTCATTGCTTGCGGGGCCAACATCAATGCGCAAGATAAGGTATGAAGAGCTGCACGGTCAAGGTTGAGTTTGCTTTTGCGATCCCTTTTCCTGCCTCTCAAAAAGAGGTAGCTCAGCTGGAACCACTCTCTTGGTTTTGTCCAGTGCTTGAGTACATTTGTCTAGTTTTGGAAGCTAAGCAAGGCCTGGTTTATACTGAGATGGGAAACCCAGGGTCTATAATGGTCTGAAACTCTGGAAAGCATTAGCTGCCAGTCAAAATTGATGGTACTGCGTTGGATGGAGTATATTTTCATGTGCAATAAGGCCATTTCTTACTTCCCTGTGACATGGATTGGAAAATGCCAGGACTCGCAGGAAACTCTAAGTTGGTCCAGAAGGTATAACCTTGATTTATTACGTCTGAGTTGACAAGACTGAGCTTGGTTAAGATTTGTCCACAAGAGATTTGCATTTGCCTTCCTCTGGGGCTGAGGGAGTAGTTTTCCATGGTTGAATGGGGATTTGAGAATCTCAAATCAGCTTTGAGAGATTCAGGTCTTCAGAATCTCTCAGACCACGTACTTGGTCTTCTGCTATATGAATAACCGTCACAAGCTCATATATATATCACTCTGAACCATTCATTGGTCCTATATATTGAATATTGCATATTGTTTTTAGTTTTGCTGCATGACACCTGTGTTCTCCTCGAGTTTCCCAGCCATGATAGCTATTACAGCAGACACGGGCAAACTTCAGCTCTCCGGATGTTTTGGACTTCAACTCCCACAATTCCCAACAGTTGGTATGTGTCAGCCGTTAGGAGAAAATAATAATAAAGGGAAATAATAATAATTTAGAATAGAATAGAAGATTTAAGTTCTTACCTGATCCTTTGAAAGGACAAGACCATTTGCAAGCATGAGAAAACCTACAGATGTTATTGATCGTCACTGGACCTTGGTCAGTTAGAAGTGTTTGCTGTAGCCGATGTTTACTTAGATATGAAGTCAACAAGAGAAGTTTGGCAAGACAAAGAGATCAATAGTATCGATCCAAGACTTGGAACATCTTAGGTCATATGGTGAGAGATCGCCATCCTCTGACTACTTAATGTAAATAGCAGGCAATTTCAGAAAAGCTTTATCCTAAGTAATTTCCTTCATGATTATTCATATAAAGAAAAAAGTTATAATGAAGTTATAAGGCTGAATTAACTAAAGGAGATTGCCTTGATCAAATCTTATGTTATAAGCATATAAGTTATAATTCAATTAGAAATTTAAGTAATTGAACTTATACGTGTCATCTTAGGGTAACGGGTGAAGGTTGGGATAAGTTACATAATCAAGCAGATGTTTGGGTTCACAACATGGCTGCCAAGACCGGATAAAGATGTCCTTGGCAATTATACATGGAAACACCTGTTAATGATTGTACTGTGTAAATGTCAGACCCTTTCTGCGCATGTGTAGAAAAGTGATTTTATGCTATAAATACTGAAGCAATTGTGACTTCAAAAGTGTGACAGTCTTTTGTTCTGTACACCCTATCTTGCTCGATAGTAAAGGCCTGAGAATCGATTGCTGTCTCCGTTCTCTTCCTTCCTGATTGTACTCTAATGAACATCGGGTAACGTATATTCTGCAACATGTAGGCTGTTAGGAATTGTGGGAGTTGAAGTCCAAAACACCCAGAGGGCTGAAGTTTGCCTGTGCCTGCACTATAGGCACTATAGGATCCTCAAGCCTTTATTCAGCCCCATGTACCTTTACTTACTACTCCATCCCTGCGGTTTCCCTTGGCCAGGAGGGAGACACGCCGATCCACGATGCTGTCCGCCTGGGCCGCTTCAAGGCTGTGAAGACGCTACTGATGTACGGCGCAAAGCTTGGCATTGAGAATGAGGTGAGGAATGCCTTCTATTGCAGTGGGAGCAATGGGAACGTTTTGGAGGTTTCCGGATGAATGGGAATTTGTGGATGTTCTTTTGGAGGAGGATCTTTTGTTAATAAGCCCCCTTGGAGGGAGGGAGGAAGAAAGAGGGACGAGAGAAAACCGAAAAGGAAGGAAGACAAAAGGGGAGGAAGGAAGGAGAAAGAAGGGCAGGGAGGGAGGGAAGGGGGAAGGAAAGAAAAGGAAGGAAAGACAAAAGGGAAAAAAGGAAGGAAGGGTGAAAGGAAAGGAGAGAGATAAAAAGGGAGATGAGGGAGGGAAGAGAGAAGGAAGGAAATACAAAAGAGAAGGAAGGAAGAATGAGAAAGGGAAGGAAAGAGTGAAGGAAGGGTGAAAGAGAAGGAAGTTGGGAGGGAGAAAGAGGGTGGTAAGGAAAGAATGGGGGGAGGGAAAGAAGAAGGAGAGAGAAGGAAGGAGCGATATGATGTTGATAGGAGTGCCTGAGAAAAAAGCCCAAGGGGCCGCATCCAGCCCTCCAGCCTGAGTTTACCCATACCTGAAATATAGGCAGCCAGAGAGGAATGGGAGGGCTCACTTCCTGACCATCTTTTTCTGTCTCGGCAGGAGGGTGTGACACCGGTGGACCTGGTGAAGGACTGGCAGAAGGGCATCCGGGAGACGCTGCAGGCCTGCGCCGACCGCCAGGGGCCAACCGCCAGGAACTGAGGAGCAGAGGCCAGGGTCGTCCATTCACCACTTGCGGCCAAGGTCCCCCCACAGTCTCTTGCACTGGGCTGTGGGCCCCACTCCTCTTTGGTGCCATGGGGGATTTAGCGCACTCCTTTGGACCGAGGAGGAGGAGGAAGACCACCTTTGGCTTCCCTGCAGTCTGGGACAGGCCTGGCAGCTATGCTGGGCAGCCCAGGCCTTCCCAAGCACTGCATTGAGGATGCAACCTTTGTGTCCCTCATCTAGTGTCCCTTTTCAGAGGGAAAATGAAGGCACCACAGAGAGGAAGGATATTGTATCTTTGCTTTGTCTCGAGGCAGAAAGCAGAATTGGGAAAAGGGAAAGGAAGCCATGCTGTATTTCCCCCTAAGACTGGGTCTTATACAACCGGCATGGGCAAACTTGGGTCCTCCCTTCAGGTGTTTTAAACTTCAACTCCCACAATTTCGGACAGCTTCAGGCCCTTTCCTTTCCTCTCTCGGCTGAAGGGGAAAAGGAAGGGGCCTGAGGCTGTTAGGAATTATGGGAGTTGAAGTCCAAAACACCTGGAGGGCCAAAGTTTGCCCATGCCTGTGATAAGACTTTTACCCTACCTGTATCTTGGATCTTGGGCAGCATTAAGGACACAGCGAGGAATCGCTTTGAAGTCCTTTGGAGATACAGTAGTCTTGTTGATCCGACATAAATGGTCTGGCAGAACGTCGGATAAACGAAACTGTCAGATAATACGGAGTCTACTACTGTTACCCGTCTGACGCTGGTAATACTAACAATAGGGTTACGGCAAGGCAGTGCCTCAGGGCTAGAGCAGCCCAGCAAGAAGTGTGTAGATAAGGAGTGTGGAAATCACAGAGGGAAGGAGAGAGGACGCGTCTGCTTCCAGTCCTGCCTCTTTTCCCCCTTTCCTCCCTCCTCATCTTGCCTTTTTCACTTACTGGGAATGGAGAAAGGACTGGGGAGAGCTCTTTTATTTGAAGGGGAAATGCTGGAGGAAAAGGGGGGGGGGGGTCAGATAAGACCAAATATCAGATAAGCAAAGGTCAGATAAGTGAGACTCTACTGTATTTATAATGCACTCTAAGTGGGGCTGACTTTGAAAAGTGCTCAGAAACTTCAGTTGGTTTAAAGAGCAACAGCCAGTCTGCAAACTGGGGCTGGCTACAGGGAGTGCACAACTTTTCTGTTGCAACAGCTTCACTGGCTGCCAACACGTTTCTAGGCACAATTCAAAGTGCTGGTTTTGACCTACAGAGCCCTATATGGCTCCGGTCCAGGTTATCTGAAGGACTGTGTCTCTTTCTATGAACCAGGGAGACATCCACGATCTACTGGGGAGGGTCTTCTCTCAGTCCCACCAACATTTAAATGTTCTGGGTGGAAACTCAGAAAGGACTGAATGTCGGATAAGCAAGACTCTATGGTAGACCCAGCTTGGAGGCGTTTGCCTCGGCTTTCCCCAGATGCCCCACTTCTCCCTTGCAAGCCCCAGTCCTCCCTTTCGAGGATGATAGTCTTCCTTGGTTTATTAGTTGAGGGCTGGGAGATGCTTCAGAAGGAAGGGAAACACATAGATTGTCCTCTCTCTAGGCCTTTCCTTTCAGCTCCGTTTGTTTTGCAAGCAAAGAAACACGCTCCTCTCTCTGCCACCTTCGTTTCCCCTGCAATTTCTGGACAGGATGAATTGACCTGGAGAAGGCAGCTGCCTGCCAGTACAGTCCCTCCTCCTCTTTGCCTTCGGTGCCATTAACCGCTTCCTCCTCCTTCCTGCCATTAATTCCCTGGACCTCTCATTCCTCATCTGCTGGTCTTGGTGCTGCCGGTCAGGCCAAGGCCCCCAACAACAGGGCTCCAAAGAGGGTCCCTTGGATGCAGCACCGGTCCTGGTGTCAAGCTGGCTGCCTGAAAAGTTATTTGCCACTGGCTGGCCAGTTGACCTTTGCTACCTAACTTTTCTTACATTTCTGGGAAGTGCAGAGCAGCTCCCCAACTGAGAACGACCTTTCCTCGTGGAACTGGGTTTCAATGAGGAACAAACCAAGACTTACCTATTTATGGATGCAAAACGTGACGCAAAGAGCCCCGGAGCCCGGCTGGGCTTGGCCCCGTGCACCCTACTTGGCCTTTCCTGGGTCACACGGGATCAAACTGGACTCTGGAGAACGGTCTTTGACCAAGTCTGAGCCCCTCCCAAGTTGCAGAGAATTATTGCAGCATGGGCTGGAGGAAATGACTGGAACGGATCTTTACAGAAGGATAGACGCAAAGACTTACCTCTTATGCAAGACGAATCTAAATGTAACTACAAAAAAGATGTATCACGCTCTACTGATTGCTGACACCATACTGAATATCTAGTTCTCTTGTTTGCTATTCCAGATTGGCAATTTACAGACAAAAATGGGGTCTGGAAGTGAGACAGCATCACTTTTGTTGAATACCCCCAAACATGTTGTAACCCATGGAGGGTGGGGTTTGCTGCCTTGCCCCCTGCATCTGCCCCTCCCTGACCTCAAGCAGAATTGTATTGGGATTTGCCTACATTGTGTGCACAAAGTGTAATGCGAGGACCCCCAAGGGCCATCCAGTCCAACCCCCCTCTGCCAGGCAGGAAGACAAAATAAACAAGCTCCCAATATAGATGGCCATCCAACCTCTTTAAAAAAAAGCTCCAGAATTGCCCCTCAAGAATGTGCAGAGACCACGACACACTGCATTTACAAGGGGTGTTCATGAAAGATTTCCCCTGACCCACTTCCTGTGGACTGAGAGCAATGAAACCAGGCCCAGTTCTGAGTCCCTCTCCTCTTCATGGATACCACCTCAGGACACACACTTCTCCCATCTTTTGAAGCAACTGTAAACACCTTGCTTGTATAGGTCAACAGGTTGTTGCAAATCCACTTGGTGACTTCGGAAATCAAGAGTCTCATCATCTGAGAAATAACTTTCTTGTTGGCAAGAAGTCTGATAGTGCGAGGTCGGGGTGAATAAGGTTTTTTTTTGTCATGTCAGGAGTGACTTGAGAAACTGCAAGTCGCTTCTGGTGTGAGAGAATTGGCCGTCTGCAAGAACGCTGCCCAGGGGACGCCCGGATGATTTGATGTTTTTATCATCCTTGTGGGAGGCTTCTCTCGTCACCGTATGAGGAGCTGGAGCTGATAGAGGGAGCTCATCTGCCTCTCCCCGGATTCGAACCTGCAACCTGTCGGTCTTCAGTCCTGCTAGCATAGGGGTTTAACCCACTGTGCCACCAGGGGCTCCATAATAAGGGGTGTGTGGTAGAATGTCACAGCCACCAGAGGATGTATCTTCCATTTGGGCAACAGGTGAGTTGTGAACAGGTGCATCGTCTTGCAGAAGGTTGACACCTTTGAGGAGCATGTCACATTGTATCTTGGTTTGGATGGCCTTCTGCCATTTCCACAGCAGTGAAGCATAGTATGCCCCGGTGATAACGGCACCCTTTGCTAGGAAATCCATCAATCCTATTCCATGCTGGTCCCACAATACTGTGAGCATGACCTTTCCTGCCAAGAGCTGGGCACGTGCCACCTTTGGAGCCAGTGAGTTAAGATGCTTCCATTGTATTGACTGTACTTGAGTCTCAGGATCAGAGTGTTGGACCCAGCTTTCATCCTGTGTGGTCAGTCTATTGACAAAGTCCTGGTTTCCATGGCATATCATTGTCAATAGAACCCGAGAGTATTTGACTTCTGGGAAGGTGTGAGCAGCTGGCAGACCCAGCAAGCGGATACCTTATGCAAGGGAAGATGGACTTGGGTGATTTTTTTCCCATAGACCCCACATTAATCTTGACATTTTGGGCTAAGTGGTGAATGGTTATGTGGTGTTTTTCCAAAATGGCAACTTTCACTTGCAGATGGTGTGTTTCTCAATAACAGAATGGGGTCGCTCTGGAATTGGAGCTGTTTCCACCAAAGTCCGACCACATTTAGATTGACGATGCCAGTTCTTGACTCCATCATATGATGGGGAATCCTCACCAGAAACCTCTTTCTTCTTATCAAACGTTGTCTTTGGTGTGCAGCCCTCCAAGCAAAGGGAGGACGGCTCTGGATTCTGCTGGGTCCATTCTCAAACCTCACACAGCTTCAGCACCTGTCACATCAAGACCGTTCTCAGTTCTGAGCTGTAAATTGGCATGTAACCTAGAGAGACACATGTGCAGTTTCAGTGTTCTGTGATATATAAAAGTGGGTCAGGGGAAATCTTTCTTGAATGTCCCTCGTAAGTCTAAACCCAAAACACAAGCTGTGGTGCTCCTGAGGGTGAGCAAGATGAAAGACTCCTTTCCTCCGACCTCCTTTGTTTCCCCTCCAAAGGTTCCTTTGCCGTCGGCAAACCCACTTTGCTCCTGACACGCTGTATATAAATAAGTCATAGATCTTTTTAGACTTCTTTCCATACAAAGGTACAGTCCCCAGCAGGAAGGTCTACAACAGAAGAGGCAGGTTACAAATAATTTACCTGAAATGAGAGTAACATTGGCTTCTAAAGACAAAAGGCGGCGGTCGGTTGAGGAAAAGAAAGAGGTGGGTTCTTTGCTCTTCAGTCTCTGTGTTCCTTTAAAAAATAATAAAACCCTTTGGGGGGGGGTGAAGAAAAATACTGTTAGTAGCAACTAGGAGAAGGAAAGGACAGTCTTTCTCTGCCAAAGCTGGAGTGGAGGGCAAATGAGTCGTGGACAATAGAAGCGGTGGTCAGTCTGGAGGCAAGGAAACCTGTGAATTCGGGCCAAACTATGGGAGCCATAGGGCAACCCCATGTTGAGAAAACAAGTTGCAGTGTAGAATAAGTCCTATTGAAGGTACGTACCATTCAAGGGGCAAGTGGGAAAGAAATCCCGCAAATCATCCTTGTCTGGGAAAGCAGAGGAACCCAATTTACTTATTGGATTGGTGGGATTGATGGACGTGTCTCACCTTTCAACAGCGACAAAGTACCACTCTGTTTCTCTTTCCCTGCCCCAGTTTCTGTAGGGCAGGAATGGGCAACTCTGGCAGGTTATAGGGCTTGGAATCTTCCACCAAAAATGATTAAATAAAGAATTGAATTCTACATTTTTGCCACTAAACGTTCTCGTCTTGTTTCTAGCGCCTAGAAGAGATTCTAGGAACAATAGGGAGTGTATCGAAATGGGCCCAAAGTGACTACAAAATGGTGATGTCCTCCTGTCTCGAAGGGCCTCATCACACTAGAGAAAAAATCAACTTTAAATCTGGTTGCTGCCTCCTGTAGATTTTTGGGGTTTGTAGTTTAGGGAGGAGATTTCAACAGTCTTACTTTTCATTAGTTCTTCATGTGGCTCGGCCATTATCACTGTGTTTGTGTTTGTATATGTTTTATGTAATTATGATGTTTATTGTTTGCGTTTTCGGTTTGTGTTCGGTTGTTCTTTATTGTAATTGTTGTTCGGGCTTGGCCCCATATAAGCTGCTCCAATTCCCCATTGGGGAGATGGTGGCGGGGTACAAATAAAGTTTATTATTATTATTATTACTACTACTACTACTACTACTAAACGACAAACTCCAGAATTCTTCAGGAGGGAGAAACTGGATTTTAAGTGGATTTTTTCTCTAGTGTGATGAAGTGGTCAGTGGCAAAATGCAATGGTTATCCGTTCCAGGGGCCCGGGAGGCAACAGATGAAACATGAAAATGAAACATTTCCACATCTTCTTTTCCAACGCTGCCCCCTTCCCAAACTCAATCAAGAAGAGACAAAACACTAGCTCCTTCAGGATAAGGAGAAGGAGGCAAAGAAAGAAAACGGAGGAAGGTTGGACAAGGGAAAAAAGGAAGTTTAGAAAAGAAGATTCAAAGGAAGGTTGGACAAGAGAACAAATGAAGGAAAGGAAAAAAGGGGTGGAAAAGAAAAGCAAGGAAGGGGGGGAAGGAAAAGAAAAATGTGGACAAGGAAAGAAAGGTTTGACTAGAGAAGTAAGGAAGTAAATTTAGAAAAGAGAAGAAGGAAGGTTGTACACGAGAAGGAAGGAAAGAAAAAAAGGTGGACAAGGAAGGAAGGAAGGAAGGAAGGAAGGAAGGAAGGAAGGAAGGAAAAGTGTAGGTTGGACTAGAGAAGAAAGGAAGGAAGTTTAGAAAAGAGAAGGAAGGTTGTACAAGAGAAGGAATGATGGAAGGAAAGGAAAAAAGGGGTGGAGAAAAAAAAGAAGGAAGGGGGAAGGAAAAGTAAAGTGTGGACAAGAAAAGGAAGGTTGGGCTAGAGAAGAAAGGAAGTTTAGAAATGAGAAAGAGGAAGGTTGTCCAAGAGAAGGAAGGAAGGAAAGAAAAAAAGGTGGGCAAGGAAGGGCGGAAGGAAAAGAAAAGTGTGGACAAGAAAAGGAAAGTTAGACTAGAGAAGAAAGGAAGGAAGTTTAGAAAAGAAAAGAAGGAAGGTTGTACAAGTGAAGGAAGGAAGGAAGGAAGGAAAAAAAAGGTGGACAAGGAAGGAAGGAAATGAAAAAGTGTGGACAAGAAAAGGAAGGTTGGGCTAGAGAAGAAAGGAAGTTTAGAAAAGAGAAGAAGGAAGGAAAGAAAAAAAGGTGGACAAGGAAGGAAGGAAGGAAGGAAGGAAAAGAAAAAGTGTGGACAAGAAAAGGAAGGTTGGACTAGAGAAGAAAGAAAGGAAGTTTAGAAAAGAGAAGGAAGGTTGTACAAGAGAAGGAAGGAAATAAAGGTGGACAAGGAAGGAAGGAAGGAAAAGAAAAGTGTGGACATGAAAAGAAAGATGAACAAGAGAAAAAGGAAGGAAGTTTTAAAAAGAGAAGAATTGAAGGAAGGTTAGAGAAGTGAAAGAAGAAAGGATGGGCAGGCAGGCGGGAGGGAGGGAGGACAAAAAAGGAAGGAAGGTTGGACAAGAAACTGAAGGAAGGTTTGACAAGAAAGCAAAAAAAGGAAAAATGAATGAAGAGAAAGAGATGGAGTGATGAAGGAAAAGGAAAGTAGAGGCAGGGAGGGTCTCCTTTGCTGAAAGAGACTGTTCCCCGTCTTGGCACACACTCCCCTCTACCATATAGCCAGTAAGCCAAGGGAAAAGGAATGGAGGTGTTTGTCTTTGGGGAGCAGACTTTGGCACAATTCTGGGCAAGTGGCGGGAGCAGAAGCCAGGGTGGGAGGAGGCCTTCTGGGTGCCTCTATGTGGCCAGGTTGAGCAGGGAATGGTGCCCACAACTGGTCCAAATGCTCCCAATCCCTGCCAGCCAAGTGGGTGCATTCACAATCTCTGGATGAGAGGCGAAAGAAGCCTTGGGCCTGGCGAGGAGTGGGTGGGCAGCGGCTCATAACGGAGCAAGGCTGACCCGACACAAAGGCTCCATCCCAAGGGAGGAAAAAATGTGGACCGGACCCCAGGGGTGTCATTTGCACACTTGCTGCAAGTGTGCAAGAAAGACAAGTGCATATGTTTGGGGAAAATAAAACCTCAGGGATAAAGGGGGTTGTTTTGCATGGAACACAAGGGACCACAACGCTGTCAAGGGAGGAGAGGAACGTGCTGTTGCTGCGGCACCTTGGCCCAGTCCCTGCTCACGGCACCGGCTTCGGCCAAAGCGAATGAGGTGCTGGGTTAGGAGGGCAGTTCCTCGCAGTCCACGTTCCCCCTCAGCTCAGCTCACCCTCCAGAGTCGATGGAAAATAATGCCCGTTAAGAGCACCGGCAACAAAACATCGAGAGCATCCCCTCAAGCCCCACACAGAGTTCAGGGGTTTTTTCAAGATTGGAAGCAAGAGAACAAGGCTCTGTCGGAAACGAGGCCGGAGAGCTCCAGGAGGGTCAAGGGATTCGGGGAAGGGGCTCCTCTGCAGGCCCAGCTGACTCATTGTCCACGGCATCAGACCCCCGAACTCTGGATCTCCTCTTCCAGAAGGTTGAGCTTGCTTCGACTGTTTCCTGCAGCGGAAAGGAGAGAGAGAGAGATCAGCCACGCAAACTCCCATGAACCACGAGTAGGACTTCATCAATGCTACATTGAGCTGTATTAGAAATCCCGGCCACTTCTAATGCACTTCAAAGCCACTCTAATGTCCCTTCTGCGCTGCCATAAAATCCAGACTATCACAGCACATAATCTGCATTATTTGCACACTGCCATACAGTCCAGTTCAAAGCAGATAATCTGGATTTTATATGGCAGTGTAGATGGGGCCTGGGTCTCCCAAGACAACTTTCAAAACACTTTTATTTAAAAATCACAATAAAGATTGAAAACCACAGTAGACTCTTAGTTAACTGGAAATTCAGCAACCAGAATTTCCCATCATGGTCAACTGTGAATTGCACATATGGTAATCTCTGGGCCTGCGAATTCACAAGTGGAGTAAAACAGGGATGTGTATTAGCTCCCACTCTTTTTAACGTCTATGTGAATGATTTAGTGACATGTTTATCCAAAATTGACTCCCCTTCACCAGCAATCAGGAATAGAAAGATTTTCATTCTGATGTACGCAGATGATTTAGTGCTCTTATCCCTTTCTCGGTTGGGTCTCAAAAACCTCTTGAAGGCGAATTCACAGGTGACCACTCGGAAAACTATGGGAAGCAACCTATATCTCTCAAGCAACCAGCCCAAAAAAAAAAACCCTGGAGAAAAAATATTAACATTTTAATAAGCTCTTTTTATAATACAGTCGGGGCCCCTGGTGCTGCAGCGGGTTAAACTGCTGAGCTGCAGAACTTGCTGACCAAATGGTTGGTGGTTCAAATCCGGGGAGTGGGGTGAGCTCCCGCTGTTAGCCCCAGTTCCTGCCAACCTAGCAGTTCGAAAACATGCAAATTTGAGTAGATCAATTGGAACCGCTCAGGTCGGAAGATAATGGCACTCCATGCAGTCATGCTGGCCATATGACCTTGGAGGTTTCTATGGACAATGTCAACTCCTTGGCTTAGAAAAAGAGATAAGCACCACCACCCAGAGTCGGACACAACTAGACTTAATACCAGGGGAAAACCTTTACTTTGTCTATAATAATATTAATGATGATAATACTTTTAGTACCCACAACTACATTAAGTTGTTTATTCATTTTAATTTGTGTTTAATAACTATTTCAATATGGAGATCAAGTCAATACAAAATTTATGGTATGGTCAAGCAACCAGAAACTACATTTAAACAGAAAACACTAGAAGGGTTTGGAGAGCATTGACCTTGAGTTTGGGAGTTGTAGTTCACCTACATCCAGAGAGCACTGGACTCAAACAATGATGGATCTGGACCAAACTTGGCACGAATATCATATGCCCAAATATGAACACAGATGGAGTTTGAGGGAAATAGACCTTGACATTTGGGAGTTGTAGTTACTGGGATTTATAGTTCACATTCAATCAAAGAGCATTCTGAACTCCACCAATGATGGAATTGGGCTAAACTTCCCACACAGAACCCCCATGACCAACAGAAAATACTTAAGGCCATCCAGTCCAACATCCTTCACCGGGGCAAGAAAACGCAAACAAAGCCTTCCTGACAAAGAGCCATCCAGCCATAGATATAGATAGATATATATGATTCACACACAGAGAGATATAGTATCATAGATTTGAAAGGGAACCCTAAAGAAGGACAGTGATATGTTGCATATTCCAGAGTAGGCAAACCAGACACTCTCCACATCAACACTGACAAAGAAACAAGAAGAAATATCGTTTACCTACAAGCATAAAGAAATTACATAGATTAGAAACCATTACTTTCTTTTCCAGCTCACGAGACTGGGCCACAGCAACGCGTGGCAGGACAGCTAGTAAATAAATAAAATAAATATGAGTAGCTCAATAGGGAATGTAATGGCGCTTCATGCAGTCATGCCAGCGATATGACTTTGGAGGTGTCTACGGGCAATGCTGGCTCTTGAGATGAGCACCACCACCCCAGAGTCAGACATGACTGGACTTAATATTAGGGGAAACCTTAAAATCCTGACAAGTCCTGACAAATTGTGGCCATTTATGACCCTGCAAACCCCAAACGCAGCAGCCTGGTGCCAAGGAAAGGCCACCCCCCTCCCTCTCTGGGAGACCGTGGGTGGGAAATGTCTGAAAGTGGAGTAAGCATATTTACCTTGTGGCTTTCAAAACAAAGGCACTCCAGCAATATGGCAGAGGGGGGCCTGTATTAAATGCAGTTCTCAATTGTGCCAAAGAAAGAGAGGTTTAGCGGGAAGGCTGGAAGGAGAAAGGAGAGAGAGAAGAAGGGGAGAGAGAAGAGACAGAGGCGTTTAGCACAGGGAGAAAGAGAACAAGTGGTGGAAAAGGCAAAGTGAAAAGAGAAAAAGGCCAGGTCTCCCTTGGTGTTTCACTCCATCTCCTTTTCCTCTCCAAGACCCACACCCTCCCTCCCTCCGAGACCCCTTTCTCTCCCTACAATACACTCCCTCTCTTCCCCCTCCAAGATCCTTTTCCTCTAAGATCTACTTCCTTCTCTATTTCCTTTGCTCTCTTCCTTCCCTCTACCTTTTCTCTCTGCTCCTCCTCTCTTCCTCCTATTTCTTTTCCTCCAAGACCCGATTCCCACTCTATTTCCTTCCCTATCTACCTTCTACCTGTCCTCTCTACCCCTCTCTTCCTCCCTCTTACATTCCTCCTTTTCCTCCAAGATCTCTTTCTGTACTTTGCTATTTCCTTCCCTCTCTTCCTTCTCTCTACCTTTCTTCTCTAATCTCCTTCCTCCTTCTATTTGTTTTCCTCTAAGACCCACTTCTCTATTTCCTTCCCTCTCTTCCTTCTACCTTCTTCTCTTCCTCTATCTAAAACAACCCTTCTTTTTTCCCCAAGATCTCTTTCTTTCTCTTTCTTTCCCTCTCTTCCTTCAACCTTTCCTCTCTAGCCCTCTCTTCCTCCTCTTCCTCTTCCTTCGGGACAGGTTGAAAGAATGTCTCCTTCGCTTTCTAATTGTTGCAGTGTACACAAACTTTTGTTCACTATTGAAAACAGAGCACCTGACATAATTATCTTCAGGCCTCGCGCATGAGATGCCTGTGAGCCATCAATGAAAAGGTGCAGTCGTGGCTCAAAAGGGGTCAGGTAAGCACACACCTGTTGCAGCGTTTTTGTCATTCAGGAGCTTTGTCTGGCTGCTGGGCATGATTTTCAATTCGATGTTGTCCGGAGACTGCGGGGAGTTCTGTATCCTGGAGGCCATCAGGGCATTGAGATACTGCAGACGGGTCACCTGCGGAAAGAGCCCGCCGTTGAGACCCTTTGAGCACAGAGTCAAGAGCAAAGCATCTCACAAGTGCAAAAGTGGACATGGGTTTACAATACGTTCTTAGTATCTGTTGGGGTTCAGCTCCAGGAACCCCTGCGTCGCGCTACAAGGAGACATGGGTAATACATGTATTATTATTATTACTATTATTATTGTTGTTGTTGTTGTTGTTGTGGTACGGCTGTACCAGGGGCTCCAACTTTATTTGCTTTGTATTAAATGTTTGCTTGCAATCCTAGGCTTGGGATTCTGCAGCAGGGTGGCTTCCTGTTAAAGTTTGCAGTTATAGGGCAGGCCACCTGGTCATCATCATTAGGTTCTCTAGTCCCGCCCCCTTTTGGGTTTAGAGAAGGGAAGGGAGCCATTTTTTAGTCTCAGCAAGAAGCTAATGTACAGGATGTGTCAAGGTTCTCCTGTGCAAAAGCTTCAACCCTTAAGACTTCCTGGGGGAGAACATTCTTAAGATTCCCAAAGGTTCCAGGGAAACAGCCTTACAGCCCTGAGGAATTTCGGAGGGAATAACAGGTTTAAACATCAAGAACTCCAGCTAAGTGACTACAGGCCTACTGGTAGGTCCACTCGGTTTTGAGACGCAGTTCAGCCCGGTAGTGGATCCACATCAGTTAGGTTTAGGTTCACAGTTAGCCTGGGAGGAGCTAGAAAGGGATTTTCCTTTGAAGTAAAGCAAAGAAACAGTTAGAAGCCACCAGTTGTTTAAAGCCTGGAAGCATTTGTTTAACCTTTGAAGACAAAAGAAGTTTCTGTTCATCAATAAAGACTTTGTTATATTTCTCAAGCCCTCTAAAGACTGTTTATGGGGGGGAAATCTCTAAGGGCTTCTCTTCAGGTCCTCTGGCTTCCCGTTGGGCTCAACTTACACATCCTGTTTAAAAAGCACTTCATTTTAAGCCCAGCAGTGACAGAACAATAATAATAATAATAATAATAATTATTATTATTATTATTATTATTATTATTATTATTATTATACACAGACACAAACATATATAATAGAATAATAGAATAGAATCATAGAATTATTATTATTATTATTATTATTATTATTATTATTATAGACACAACAAGATTAGTCCACAGCAAACAAGATCTCTCTGCTGGCTTTTGTATTTGATCACACATCTGATGGATGGCGATTTTACAGCTGATGGATGGTGATTTTGTCAGTGCCGACTGTTTTTAAGTGCAGGCCAAGGTCTTTAGGCACTGCACCTAGTGTGCCGATCACCACTGGGACCACCTTGACTGGCTTATGCCAGAGTCTTATTATTATTCGTTAGAGATATTTTTTGTTTGTGTCAGGAGCAACTTGAGTAACTGCAAGTGGCTTCTGGTGTGAGAGAATTGGCCGTCTGCAAGGACGTTGTCCAGGGGATGCCTGGATGTTTTCATGTTTTACCATCCTTATGGGAGGCTTCTCTCATGTCCCCGCATGGGCAGCTTGAGCTGGCAGAGGGAGCTCATTCACACTCTCCCTGGATTCGAACCTCTGACCTGTCAGTCTTCAGTCCTGCCGGCACAATTACACCACCACAATTGTTGTTGTTGTTGTTGTTGTTGTTACCCAAACCCATGGATGCTCAGTCCCATGATATACAATGGGCCAGATTTGAGTGGGAAACAAGGTGCGAGTTCCCCGATGGCCTTCTTTTCAAGTGGGGCAGGTAGTAAAGGTTCTCCTTTGTGCCAGGATATGCTGCAAGTTTCTAAACCCAATACTTACGAAATTGAATATCTGCACATTATATCGAGAACCCAAATCCAAATTATAGGGGGGAGTCTATTTTGCCTAATCTACATTCCAACAAGGTGTGAGAAAAGATTGTCAATCTCCTGCGAGATACCAATCCTTGCAAAGTTTTGGAGGATGTCTGGGCCATTGACTCCCTTGGGACCCTCCGGACGGTGCCCACCTTGATGAACTGCAGGTCGGTCAAGGCTCGGACAGTGTAATCCGGACAGTAAGCGGAGTAGTTGGTGGCTTCTGTGCAGTCCAGCGAAGACTGGTCGCGGCGGTTCATTCGGAGGGTGGATACTGGGGACTGGTGAACTATTGGAGAAAAACACAAGGAGCCAAAGGGTGATGTTTGCAGCATTATTATTATTATTATTATTATTATTATTATTATTAATTATACCTAGTTCTCAAACTATTTCAGTCGAGGACTACATCAGCCTTATTATGGTTACTGTTAATAACCATGGCCAGGAGGGCTTTCCGCAGCCACTATTGCGCCAGCTGCGAGCATACCTCGTGAAGTCGGATCTGGCCAGGGTGGTCCATGCCTTAGTCACCTCCAGATTGGACTACTGTAATGCACTCTACGTGGGGCTGCCCTTGAAAATGGCCCAGAAATTTCAACAGGCAACAGCCAGGTTATTAACTGGTGCTTCTTACAGGGAGCGGTCAACCCTCCTGTTGAAGGAGCTCCACTGACTGCTGTTCATTTTCCGGTCCTAATTCAAGGTGCAGGTTTTGACCTATAAAGCCCTGAACAGTTTGGAACCCACCTATCTGTGTGACCACATTTCTGTGTACGAACCCACACATTCTCTTCGATTATCTGGAGAGGCCCTGCTTGCGCTCCCACCTCCTTCGCAGGCTCAAACGGTGGGGATGAGGGAGAGGGCCTTCTCGGTGGTGGCCCCTTGACTCTGGAACTCACTTCCCAGGGACATTAGACATGCCTCAACTTTGGCAGTCTTTGGGAGGAGCCTGAAAACGTGGTTGTTCCAGTGTGCCTTCCCAGAATAAGGAAAACTCTCCGCAATATGTCCTCAAAATGCACTTTACCACTGATTTAGGACTGACTGCATTCCCTCATCTCTTTTTGAAAACCCTATCCCAGTTATATCCTGCCTTGTTCATGCCCAGCGTTATTTTTTAAATTTTAAATTATTACATTTGGCCCGGCCATTGGTTTTTAAATGCTTGCGTGTTACTGTTTATTTTTTTTTTGTTTATGTGATTTTTTTGTTTATGTGATTTATACTAATTGTATTATATTGATTGTATTTGTTATTGCTCTTGTTATTGATGTGGGCTTGGCCTCACGTAAGCCGCACCGAGTCCCTTGGGGAGTGTTCTGTCTCCCAGGAGCCTGATTTGCCTTACTTTATAGTTGCTTGAGGTTGCTTCCTCTTGCATTTTCTCCCAGGGCTGCTGCAGCTTTGCAAGAGTCCTAAAGGTTAATAGTATCAGAGTCTGCAGGCCTCTTTGCAACTATTGGCTTAGAGAGCAGCTCTTTGAGTTTAGGGACCGCCTTTTCTCCCAGGGAAAGATCTCCATTTTAGATTCTCCCCTGCCTTTTCAGTTTGAGGAAAGACTTCAGACGTGCTGATGGCTAGGCAGTTAGCTCTGGGAGAACCATTGCAAAAACTAAACTAAGTAAGCTATATTGAGTTAATATAGATAGTATATTGTGTATTGAGCTGTATTGAGATATTTTAGACAGATAAGCTTAGTTGAGAAGATTGAGTTATAGTTATAGAGAGGGAGTCGTGACTGCTTTGTCTCCAGGACTGACCTTAAGTTATAGATAGGGAAAAAGTCTGCCTTTTTCTAAACCACAACAGCTTAAGGTTAGGGTGTTAAGATTTCATGATCTTATCTGTCATCTGGAGAAAGGGTTGCCTCTGTAACTAAAGAAAAGAAAGAATATTTTTGTAGCTTCATCTATTGACTGTTTGTTTGTTTGCAACTTTGATGAACTGTGATTAACTGTGCCAAGTCTTCAAGGACTTTGAATAAATAAATATCCTTTTTTGATGTTTAAACCAGTCTGAGTATCTCAAGCTTCTCAATATAGACACCTGCAGTTCGCTCAGACATAGAGAGAAGCACATCACAGTTTTATTTTTTATATTGTCTGGGCGGAGGCACAGGGAGATGGTAGCGGGGTATAAATAAAGTATTATTATTATTATTATTATTATTATTATTATTATTATTATTATTATTACTACTACCCACTTTTGGTCCCCAGATGTTATCAAACAATAATGCCCATCTGTTATTATATAGGGATAATGGGCAGTGCAACCCAACAGTAGCTCTGAGGCGGTGGGGAGGTGAAAGGGCATTTTAGAGCCAGGTATCTGATCCACAAGCCTTGCCTCTAAATTGAAACCGCTGACTAAACAGAACAAACTGCAGCTTCTTAGATGTTGCTGTATCCCAATTCCCATCAACTCTAGTCCTGCTGTCTAATCCACATTCACTATCTAAATCAGGCATAGGCAAAACTTCGGCCTTCCACTGCTACTCCCACAAGTCCTAACAGCTGGTAGGCTGTTAGGAATTGTGGGAGTTGAAATTCAAAACACCCAGAGGGCCGAAGTTCGCCCAGGCCTGGTCTAGTCTCTACTCCAGTGGTTCTCAAGTTTTTGGTCCTCTGTTTTGCAGTTTAATAAACTTTTCCCATGTTTTTATGATGGATCCAATTAGGAAATAGAATGTATAACCCAAGAATAAAAATGGGGTTACATGGGGTGGTTATTATTGTTATTTTCCTCAAGGGTGTATGAACTGTAATCCAACACACTTGCAAAGGGCCAGGCTTTGGGAAATGCCTTTTGTTGATGTCCTGGAAGAACCAAACCCACAGTTGGCCGGATCGATGGTAGTCCTTCTGGGGTTTCTCTCATCACTTTGGAATATGACCTTGAACAAAAACCCATGAGGTTTTGGAGCCAAATCCTCCGAAACGGGAGTTTCCTGTAATGCAGTGTTTCTCTACCTTCCTAATGCTGCAACGCCTTAACACAGTTCCTCCAACCACAACATTATTTTCATTGCTACTTCATAACTGTGATTTTGCTACTGTTATGAATCATAATGTAAAATACCTGATAAGCAGGATATATTTTCATTTAGACCAAATTTGGCACAAATACCCGATACGCCCACATTTGAAAACTGGTGGGGTCGGGGGGCGGGGGAATTATTTTGTCATTTGGGAGTTGTAGTTGCTGGGATTTATAGTTCACCTAAAATCAAAGAGCATTCTAAACTCCACCAACAATGGAATTGAACCAAACTTGGCACGCAGAACTCCCATGACAAACAAAAAAAATACAGGAAGGGTTTGGTGGGCATTGACCTTGAGTTTTGGAGCTGAAGTTCACCTACATCCAGTGAGTACTGTTGACGCAAACAATGATGGATTTGGACCAAATAGACCTTGATATTTGGGAGTTGTAACTGTTGGGATTTATAGTTCACCTACAATCAAAGTGCATTTTTAACCCAACCAACGACAGAATTGGGCCAAATTTCCCATACAGAATGCCCATGCCATGAAGGGAGTCACTGGCGCGAGCCTCCCTCCAGCCTCACACGCTCTTCCTCGCTCATACATGTTCACCATGCTGCCATGCACCGAGCACACCTGCTCTCCCCTTCCCGCTTGGAGTCTCAGAAACAGCCCTCCCCTTGGATGAGAGGCCAGCCAATCACAGCAGAGGAGGGTTTTTGGTGGGAGGATTCACTGTCTGTTTCCAAAAAGGAAGAGAAGGACAGGCGGAGAGATCTTCAGCCTTCTCTGCCAAAGAGGTTCCTGAGACCACCAGAAAGAGATGTTTTCTGATCGTCTTTGGTGATCCTTCTGAAATCCCCTTGCAAACCCTCCAGAGGTCCTGACTTCTGAGGTGATGTAATGGGAAGGAGTTGGGAAGGAAGTGTGGGACTCACCGGAAGAAGGTGCCGTCAGTGCGGAGACGCCGTAATATGTGAAGGCCCCGTTCTCAAACTTCAGCCCCTCTTTTCCGATCTCAACTTCGACCCTGCCCTGGAGGGGAAGGTAAACACATACATTAATGTCAAAGTGAGGAAGCCAGACAAAGACACAATGGAAGGCACCCATTCCATCATTTTCAGATATCAGAACAGGATTTTCCCTTTGTCCCTTTTAGTTAGTCAGTTTATGGAAATTATGGAAAAAATAGTTGGCTTCAGGAAAGGCAAAAGCTACACATCGCAAGTGCTGAACCTGACTCAGCACATAGAAGATGGCTTTGAAAGGCAGCAGATCACAGGCGCTGTCTTCATAGACCTGTCAGCGGCTAATGATACTGTAAACCACCGCCTCCTCCTGAGAAAAATGTATAATATCACAAAGGATTACCACCTCACCTGCCTCATAGGAAACCTGCTACAAAACAGGAGCTTTTTTGTTGAGTTCCAGGGCCAGAGAAGCAGATGGCGGAAACAGAAGAATGGCCTGCCTCAGGGGAGCGTGCTTCCTCCATCCATGTTCAACGTTTACACAAATGACCAGCTGCTGCCAGAAGGGACAGAGAGTTTCTTCTATGCAGATGATTGTGCCATTACTGCTCAAGCAGGGAGCTTTGAGATGGTTAAACAGAAGATTTCCGAAGCTCTAGGTGCTCTTACCACCTACTACAGGGAAAACCAGCTGATCCCTAATCCATCTAAAACACAGACATGTGCTTTTCACCTTAAGAACAGACAAGCATCCTGAGTTCTGAGGATTACCTGGGAAGGAATCCCACTGGAGCATTGCAGCGCACCCAAATACTTGGGAGTCACTCTGGACCGTGCTCTGACCTACAAGAAGCACTGCATGAATATCAAGCAAAAAATGGGTGCTAGAAACAGTATCATATGAAAGCTGACTGGCACAACCTGGGGATCACAATCAGACACAGTGAAGACATCTGCCCTTGCGCTATGCTACTCACATCGCAAGTGCTGAACCTGACTCAGCACATAGAAGATGGCTTTGAAAGGCAGCAGATCACAGGAGCTGTCTTCATAGACCTGTCAGCGGCTTATGATACTGTAAACCACCGCCTCCTCCTGAGAAAAATGTATAATATCACAAAGGACTACCACCTCACCCGCCTCATAGGAAACCTGCTACAAAACAGGAGCTTTTTTGTTGAGTTCCAGGGCCAGAGAAGCAGATGGCGGAAACAGAAGAACGGCCTGCCTCAGGGGAGCGTGCTTCCTCCATCCATGTTCAACGTTTACACAAATGACCAGCTGCTGCCAGAAGGGACAGAGAGTTTCTTCTATGCAGATGATTGTGCCATTACTGCTCAAGCAGGGAGCTTTGAGATGGTTAAACAGAAGATTTCCGAAGCTCTAGGTGCTCTTACCACCTACTACAGGGAAAACCAGCTGATCCCTAATCCATCTAAAACACAGACATGTGCTTTTCACCTTAAGAACAGACAAGCATCCTGAGTTCTGAGGATTACCTGGGAAGGAATCCCACTGGAGCATTGCAGCGCACCCAAATACCTGGGAGTCACTCTGGACCGTGCTCTGACCTACAAGAAGCACTGCATGAATATCAAGCAAAAAATGGGTGCTAGAAACAGTATCATATGAAAGCTGACTGGCACAACCTGGGGATCACAATCAGACACAGTGAAGACATCTGCCCTTGCGCTATGCTACTCTGCTGCTGAGTACGCATGCCCAGTGTGGAACACATCTCACCACACTAAAACAGTGGATGTGGCTCTTAATGAGACATGCCGCATTATCACGGGGTGTCTGCGCCCTACACCACTGGAGAAATTACACTGCTTAGCCGGTATTGCACCACCTGACATCCGCCGGGAAGTAGCAGCCAATAGTGAAAGGACCAAGGCAGTGACATCTCCAGCTCATCCCTGTTTGGGTATCAGCCAGCACGTCAATGACTTAAATCAAGAAATAGTTTTCTAAGATCTACAGAGACACTTGCTGGAACAACTCAGCAAGCGAGAGTCCAAAAGTGGCAGGCTCAAACCCAGAACCTCAATCAATGGCTGATACCAAATGAGAGACTCCCTCCTGGGCACACAGAAAACTGGGCGACTTGGAAGGTGCTGAATAGACTGCGCTCTGGAACCACGAGATGCAGAGCTAACCTTAAGAAATGGGGCTACAAAGTGGAATCCACGACATGCGAGTGTGGAGAAGAGAAAGCTACAGACCACCTGCTGCAATGCAACCTGAGCCTTGCCACATGCACAATGGAGGACCTTCTTGCGGCAACACCAGAGGCACTCCCAAGTGGCCAGATACTGGTCAAAGGACATTTAATCAACTACCAAGCTTGCAAACATTGTGTTTTGTCTGTCTGTTTGTTTGGTTAAAAATGTAATACAACTGTCTGGTTGCTCCTGACATGATAAATAAATAGTAATAAAATAAAATAATAATAAAAGTGGCGGGGTACAAATGAAGTTGTTTATTATTATTATTATTATTATTATTATTATTATTATTATGTTTATTTATACTCTGCCTTTTCTCTCTACAATGAGACTCAAAGAGGTTCAAAGATAGACTGGAATAGTCATTCAATCCCATTGATGGAAGAGGGAACGACTGGAAGAGTCACTCAATCCCAAGAGAGAAGGTTGTGTAAAGGTTTTGAGTTGCCCTCTTCTCCACCAGGATGCCCATTTTACAAACAGAACACTCGATACACAGCCTTTGTTGTGATCCAGTATGGCTTCTTAGGGGGCTATCAAGGCCCACCAACACTTATGTATAACCTAAGCCCCAACAGATTTCACTGGGTGGCCATTGTAAGTCTCTACTTGATGCCCATGAGGTTGATCTGGAGCAAGTTCCCTATTTTGAAGGCCTTTGGATGCCCAAGAACATCCATAGGCATCTTCATGGAAATTGAAGCCCAAATTTGGAAGGTGCCATCTTGGAAGAGGACATCTGTCCCATTTTGTTGAATTCCAGGTTTAGGTAACCAGGGCCACAAAATGTGACTTCCTTGATCAAGGCAGAAGATGTGACTCTGCTAGACTTCCCAACTCAAGTCTTTGCCTTGACTATCTAACTAGAGATCCCACGCCAGGCATGGGCAAACTTGGGTCCTCCAGGTGTTTTGGACCAACTCTCACAATTCCTAACAGCCTGCTGGCTTTTAGGGATTGTGGGAGTTGAAGTCCAAAACATCTGGAGGACCCAAGTTTGGCCAAGCTTTGGGCGGGACCCAATGGATGCCTCTTCCCACTCTGTTTTTCTATGATTCCTCTCTTACATTTATGCAGGAAAAGAAAGGGGTCTGGGTAGTCCTACGCACTGCAAGGAAGAGTATCTCATTTGGGGCCAGATGGGGCCGTGGGGAGGAGGAAGACCAGCTTCCTTAGCCCCAGAGCAGGTCGTCTTCTGCATGGCTTTGGCTCAGGACCAGGACGATGATAATGATGGAGCAACACAATGGACCGTACCACCTTGGGTGGCGGGGTTATGAAGGACACGACAGACAAATCCATATTCTTTGCAAATATTAGGGATGCAAAACCAGATCCTTCGTGGTACATTAGAGAGAAAGGACTGACAGTAAAAGGAGTAAGAAGTTTCCAATATGTTGACATCTCCCAGTGTCAAATGCTCCAGTCCATTCTAGAACTTCTAATACGTTGTCAAAGCAGAAGGAAGCTACAAAGCATGGGAAAATTTCCTTTTGGGGGATGACAACTCGCAGAATCCACCAACATTTTGGAGATTAGAGGACTGCCCCCCAAAAGTGACATTTCTGGTGAACTGGTCATTGACTGCAAGATTGTCTTAAACCTGTTTTTAAGTGTGTTAATAATGTATTTTAAGCAAAGGTGCTCTGATTGTGCTTTTCCTGCCTGACTGAATAGGGTTGGACTAGATGGCCTTTGGGGTCTCTTCCAACTTCATGATTCTATGACTCACCTCATGTTTTATATACTCTACTAGCTGTACCCGCCACGCGTTGCTGTGGCCTACCTTCCCTCCCTCCTTCCTTTCCTCCCTCTTTCCTTCCCTCTTTTTCTTTTCCTTCTTCTTTCTTCCTTCTCTGTTTCTTTCCTTCCTTTCTTTGCTCTTTGGTTCCATCCTTCCTTCTCTCTTTCATTCCTTCCTTCCCTCCCTCTTTCTCACTTTCGTTCCTTCTCTCCTTCCTTCCCTCTCTCTTTCCTTCTTTCTTTCATTTTTTAATTCCTTCTCTCCTTCTTTCCTTCTTTCTCTCCTTCCTACCTCCTTCCTTCCTTCCCCCTTTCTGTGTATTTGTGTGCATATATGCATATATATGTGTGTGTGTGTGTGTGTGTGTGTGCGTATATATTTGTGTATGTGTGTATATATGTGTGTTTGTGTATATATGTGGTTTTGAGCATGTGTTGTAATGCATTTTTGGTTTTTTGCCTTTTTAAGTCCCTTCTGTTGTGTTTTTCAGTGTTTGTATGAGTGATGATCACTTGTTGGCCTGACAGGTGTCTTGTGTCCAAATTTGGGTTAAACCGCTGAGCTGTTAAATTTGCTAACCGAAAGGTTGCAGGTTCGAATCTGGGGAGTGGCATGAGCTCCTGCTGTTAGCCCCAGCTTCTGCCAACCAAGCAGTTCAAAAACATGTAGATTTGAGATCAATAGGTACTGCTCCGGCAGGAAGGTAACGGTGCTCCATGCAGTCATGCGGCCACATGACCTTGGAGGTGTCTATGGACAACGGCAGCTCTTGGGCTTAGAAATGGAGATGAGCACCACACCCCCGAGTCGGACACGACTGGACTTAATGTCAGGGGAACCATATGGTTATGTGCATGCGTTGTAATGTATTTTTTATTTTTTGGCTTTTGAAGTCTCTTCTGCTGCTTTTCAGTGTTTCAGTGTTTTTATGAGTGATGGTCACTCGTTGGCCTGATAGGTGTATTGTGTCCAAATTTGGTGTCAATTTGCCCAGTGGTTTTTGAGTTCTGTTATTCCCACAAACGGACATTACATTTTTATTTATATAGATATTGTTTGTTTCACTGATGGTCATTGACCTTAATTATTCGATTGTAAGACACCATCAATTGTAAGACAAACCCAAATTTCAGTACCAACGCCACCAACAAAAAAATATATAAGATATACCTGCGATTCTACGATGTGTGTTTTAGAATTGAATTATGACTACTACTAGTAGTACTACAGAAGAACAGCCTGCCTAGGGGAGCGTGCTTGCTTCATCAGTGTTTAACGTTTACACAAATGATCAGCCACTGCTAGAAGGAACAGAGAGTTTCAACTATGCTGATGATTGCGCCATCACTGCTCAAGCAGGGAGTTTTGAAATGGTTGAACAGAAGCCCTCCAAAGCTTTAGGTGCTCTTACTGCCTACTACAGGGGAAACCACCCGATTCCTAATCCATCTAAAACACAGACATATGCTTTTCATCTTAAGAACAGACAAGCATCTCGAATCCAAAACACTTGGAGGGATGAAGCTCACCCATGCCTGTCTTAAAGGCACCAGATTGTAAAGGTGAATCTGTTAGGATACACAACTCTAGTCTTGGCATTGGTAAATGGGATTGTGAATTGTGAAGCAGTAGAAAAAGCGGAGAAAGAAGAAGCAGATTCCCTGCCCTATGCCTTGGCTCAGTGAAGAAGAAGATGTTCACCTGCAGGATGAGGATGAAGTAGTTGACGGGCTGGTTGCGCTGATACAAATAGTGGTCGGCGGCCAGGCGGTTGCTCTCGTCGAACTTGACCTCTTGGTTGACGCTGGGATGCTTCAGCAAATGCAAGAGGACCTTCTCCGAGATGCGGGCCGGGCCAAAGAGGTCCACCTCTTCAGAAACGGGGAGAGAGGGAGAGAGAAGTGTCAAGGGGCTCAAGCTTTGCATTTAAAAATAAAGCATGTGAAAACAAGTAAGGGGGGAAAAATCACCAAAATCAAGGTTATACACACTGCCCAATGCCTTACAAGACTTTGGTGTCCATTGGTTCAGTTACACAAGACCTAGATTGAACCCCAATGTGTGTGGATCAATGAGCACAGATGACAATTTATGGTGCAGCTTGGCACATAATGGTAAAATGTATATACAGCAATATGTGAGAGGAAGTCACAGGAAGGAGGGAGCAAGCTTGTTTTCTGCTTCCCTGGAGACTAGGATGCGGAACAATGGCTTCAAACGACAAGAAAGGAGATTCCATCTGAACATGAAGAAGAACTTCCTGACTGGGAGAGCTGTTCAGCAGTGGAACTCTCTGCCCTGGAGTGTGGTGGAGGCTCCTTCTTTGGAGGCTTTTAAACAGAGGCTGGATGGCCATCTGTCAGGGGTGCTTTGAATGCAGTATTCCTGCTTCTTGGCAGAGGGTTGGACTGGATGGCCCATGAGGTCTATTCCAATTCTATGACTCTATGATTCTATATATTATTAAAGGTGAACATTTGCACGTTTTCGAACTGCTAGGTTGGCAGAAGGTGGAGCTAACAGCAGGAACTCACCGCACTCCTCAGTTAATGTAATTTCATTGGTATCTATTTTTATTTTGAAACTAGCTGTCCCCTGCCATGTGTTGCTGTGGCCCAGTCTGTGTGTGTATACATGTGTGTATGTGTATATTTATGTATATGTGTATATATGTAGTTTTGTGCATGCATTGTAATGTATTTTTTATTTTTGGCTTTTTAAGTCCCTTCCGCTGTGTTTTTCAGTGTTTTTATGAGTGATGGTCACTCGTTGGCTTGATAAGTGTCTTGTGTCCAAATTTGGTGTCAATTCGTCCAGTGGTTTTTGAGTTATGTTAATCCCAGAAACAAACATTACATTTTTATTTATATAGATTTCCCAGTCGCTGCTGCCTTTCCCACCTTTGGCTTATACTTGAGCCAATACGCTTTCCTAGTTTTTTGTGGTAAAATTAGGCACCTCGGCTTATATTTGGGTTGGCTTATGCTCGAGTACATACGGTATCAGATAGTCCCTTCCAAATGTATGATTGGGCCGGTTTCTCCGCAGATCTTACCTCTGGATAAGAAGCGCTGCGTCGCCAGGAGAAGCTGTGGAGAGATTTTCACCTTGTATTCATTATCGGACACTTTGAACAGAGAGAAGTCTTCTTTCCTGCGATCCATCAAGGACCCCAGTGGGGCTGGCTTCTTCTTCAGTTTGTTGTCCCCTGGAAAGAAGGAAGGAGGAAGGAAAGAAGTGGGGAGGAAGAGGAGGAAAAGGAGAGATAAACCCAGTCCACCCAGTGGCACCAGTACAACACTGGCCATGCAGGTTGGAGGATTTTCGGAGTTGACTCTAGGTGTTTCTTTAATACGACAGGGCAGAATTCAGTTTTCTGGGAGATGGTTTTTCATTATTCCTCCCAGAAAGGAAGGCATAGGTGTCTAGCCTTTAATAGACTTCAATTCCCAGAATCCTCCACTCTTTTGGCCAATGAGTAGGGGATTCTGGGAGCTGATGTCCAAAACACTTGGAAGAGTGGAAGCACTGAATTAGAAGAATCTATCCTATACAGCAGGCGTGGACCAACTTCGGCCCTCCAGGTGTTTTGGACCGGTAGGCTGTTAGGAATTGTGGGAGTTGAAGTCCAAAACACATGGAGGGCCGAAATTGGCTCATGCCTGCTGTACAGAGTCGGACCAATGTCCTTATCAACACAGCCATGATTGTAAGACAGTCTCAGAAGTGGAGCAACACTTGTACAGAATGGATAACAGATCAATAAATTAGAATATCCTGGGGCAGATTTGTTTTATTACCCCATCCTATAATAAGAATGTTAGAAATTGCAACCTCCAAAGCTGTTAAGTTTTTCGAGCTGTCTGGCCATGCTCCAGTAGCATTCTCTCCTGACGTTTCGCCTGTATCTATGGCAGGCATCCTCAGAGGTTGTGAGTTCTGTCGGATACTAAGCAAGTGGAGTTTATATATCTGTGGAAAGTCCAAAGTGGGAGAAAGAATGCTTGTCTATTGGAGGTACGTGTGAAAGTTTCCATTGTCCACCTTGATTAGCATTTTATTTATTTATTTATTTATTTATTTATTTATATTTAATTTACATTTAATTATTTTATTTATTTATTTAATTTTAATTTAATTGACCACCTTGATTAGCATTTAATTGACTGAAGTATGTTTTATTATAGTGTTGATTTTATTGTTGTTGACGTTTTATATTGTATATTGTATCTGTGTTTTTGGTGGCATTGAATTTTTGCCTTTTGAACCGCCTCGAGTCGCCAGAAGGCGGTATACAAATATACTAAATAAATAGATAAATAAATAAATGGCCTAGCAGTTTTCATGGTGTTGCTTCTTACTGCCTGGCGGCATCCTTTCTTGAGAGGTGATTAGCTGTCTCTGATTGTTTCTTGTCTGGAGCTCCCCTGTCTTTATTTACTGTCCTGATTTTAGAGGGTTCTTTTTCATACTGGTAGCCAGATTTTGATCATTTTCATGGTTTCTTCCTTTCTATTGAAATTGTCCACATGCTTGTGGATTTCAATGGCTTCCCTGTGTAGTCCGACATGGTGGTGATTAGAGTGCTCCAGCATTTCTGCGTTCTACCTTTCTTTCCATTCATAATCTCCCCCTTCTCTTCACCAATCCTTTTCTTCCTTTCTTCTCTCCTTTCCCCTCTTTCCTCCTGGACAGTTTGTAAGGGTTTTCAAAGGGGGTGAAAGGGGGGATGTGGAGCCCAAGCGGGAGAGTTGCTGGCCTTCCCATGGTTCACATACTCCCTTCACCCAACCACGGGGGGGGGGGGGGTGCAGCCCTGCAGCCAGGCTTGCCTTGCAATCCTCTGGTCTTGGGGGAAGAGTTGCCTGGTAGCCACGTGGGCCTCATGGAGCCACTGCGGTTGCTCCAGCTGCTGCCGGGGCTTGCCTCGCCAAGCCCCCACCCCTCCATTGGGCCAGGCCTTGTAAGGCATTTTTCTTTTTGGGGAGTTTTAACTTATTTCCCCTTCATTTTTAAAGGTTTTTTGTTTGAAAGACCTAGATCGGATTAGAATGTGTTTTGCTGCCATATTTGGTGTCAATTCATCCAGTGGTTTTTGAATTCTGTTAATCCCACAAACGAACATTATTATTATTATTATTATTATTATTATTATTAACTTTATTTGTACCCCGCTAACATCTCCCGAAGGACTCGGTGCGGCTTACAAAGGCCAAAGCCCTCAATAAAACAACAGCATAACAAGTACAACAATAAAACTCATAAAGCAAACCAATAAACATTAAAGCAATAACAGTAAAACATCAAAACAATACATCATGACACATTTAAAACTAGGGCCAGGCCAAATGTAATGAATAAATTAGAAGTGCTGGACATGACAGGTGAAATGTAAAGATTTTAGGGTAGGTGCGATGTGCAGGCAATCTTAAATCTCTAATAAAGTGCGTTTGGGACATGATGCTGGGAGTTTCCTATTCTGGAAAGGCACACTGGAACAGCCAGGTCTTCAAGCTCTTCCTAAAGACTGCCAACGTTGGGGCTTGTCTGATGTCCTTGGGGAGAGAGTTCCAGAGTCGGGGGGCCACCACAGAGAAGGCCCTGTCCCTCGTCCCCACCAAACGCGCTTGCGACGCAGGTGGGATTGTGAGCAGGGCCTCTCCAGATGAACATTTTTATTTATATAGATAATTTACAATTTATCTCACAAGTTTCTGTTGGATCCCACTTTTGTGGCCTGCAAAACCCCCACAACTTTCAACCTGTTTTAAGGGCAATCAGACCAAAATTATACACAAAGGTTCTCAATGGCATGAAGATGCAAGAAGGCACTTCCTAACCCAGCCGTACTGTTTTGCTGATTTGGGCGTCCAAGTACAAAATAAAAGGATGCCCAACATGTCCTAAGACATCTATGACTTGGGGGGCAAAAAAGGAGGGGAAGACAGCCAGGACTAGAAGAACGAAAATAATCGAGCCCCTCACAGGCCATACCTGGAAGAAACCCCACTTACTGTAGTCATCCGACTCGTCCATGATCTCCGACTTGATGATCTCCTCAATGACGTCCTCCAGGGTCACCAGGCCCATGACCTCGTAGAAAGGGTCCCCTTCACCTTCGTTGTTGACCTTCTGGACAATGGCCAGGTGGGACTTCCCTGAGCAGAGAGGAAGGAGGGGAAGCCAGGGCTTAGCAAAAGTGGCACGGACCTTGTACTGGATGGGATCCTGGACACAGAGAAGTTATTGAAATTCACAAGCATGTGAACAATTTCAACAGAAAGAAAGGAACCACGAAAAAGAACAAAATTTGGCTACCAGTATTGAAAGACACTAGAACAGCGTTTCTCAACCTGGGGATCAGGACCCCTGGGGGGGTCGTGAGGGGGTGTCAGAGGGGTCGCCAAAGACCATCGGAAAACACAGTATTTTTTGTTGATCATGGGGGTTCTGTGTGGGAAGTTTGACCCAATTTTATCATTGGTGGAGTTCAGAATGCTCTTTGATTGGAGGAGAACTATAAATCCCAGCAACTACAACCCCCAAATGTCAAATCTCTTTTCCCCAAACTCCACTAGTGTTCACATTATTGAGCATTCATGCCAATTTTGATCCAGATCCATCATTGTTTGAGTCCACAGTGTTCTATGGATGTGGGTGAACTACAACTCCAAAACTCAAGGTCAATGCCCACCAAACCCTTCCAGTATTTTCTCTTGGTCATGCGAGCTATGCATGCCAAGTTTGGTTCAACTCTATCATTTGCGGCGCTCCATGCAGTCATGCCGGCCACATGACCTTGGAGGTGTCTACAGACAACGCTGGCTCTTCAGCTTAGAAATGGAGATGAGCACCACACCCCAGAGTCAAACATGACTGGACTTAATGTCAGGGGACTACCTACCTACCCTTATCATTTGCGGAGTTCAAAATGCTCTTTGATTTTAGGTGAACTATAAATCCCAGCAACTACAACTCCCAAATGACAAAATAACCCACCCATCCACCCACCTACCCCCCAATATTCAAATTTGGGCATATTGGGTATTGTGTCAAATTTGGACCTGGGAATGAAAATACATTCTGCATATCGGATATTAACATTACGATTCATAACAGTAGCAAAATTACAGTTATGATGTAGCAACAAAAATAATTTTATTGTTGGGGGTCACCACAACATCAGGAACTGTATTATGGGGTCGCGGCATTAAGAAGGTTGAGAACTACCGCACTAGAATCAAGACACAGGGAGTCTCCAGGCAGAAAACTATCAAGGGTTTTGTGTCACCCAGGCTAAGAACACCACCCAGGCTATGGATGTCTCCAGGCAGCAAACAATTCAAAAGGAGCAATTCAAAAGGCCATGTTTACTTCTATGCAGGTGCCCTCACTAACTGAATATGGTATCTTTACGGTTGTGCTGTCGAAGGGTTTTGTGGCCTGAATCACTGGGTTGCGGCGAGTTTTCTGGGCTGTCTGGCCATGTTCCAGAAGCATTCTCTCCTGAGGTTTCACCCACATCTATGGCAGGCATCCTCAGAGGTTGTGAGGTCTGTTGGAAACTAGGCAAGTGGGGTTTATATCTCTGTGGAATGATGTCCAGGGTGGAAGAAGGAACTTTTGTCTGTTTGAGGCAGGTGCGAATGTTGCCATTGGCCAGCTTGATTAGCATTTAATGGCGTAGCAGTTTCAAGGTCTGGCTTCTTACTGTCTCCTTTTAAAAATCATCTTTATTGCAAGTGTATTTCATGATTATACATAAAATGTTAGGGTTAGTGCGTTGGGGTGGAGGATTTAATAAGGATAGAGATGCAATGAAATCATTCCTCATTCCCAGAGCCTCCTCCTTATAATTTACATTGTCCTATGAGCTTGTTGATCGAAAGGTCGCAGGTTCGATTCTGGGGAGCGGCGTGAGCTTCCACTGTCAGCCTTAGCTCCTGCCAACCTAGCAGTTCGAAAACATGCAAATGTGAGTAGATCAATAGGTACCGCTCCGGCGGGAAGGTAACGGCGCTCCATGCAGTCATGCTGGCCACATGACCTTGGAGGTGTCTACGGACAACGCTGGCTCTTCGACTTAGAAATGGAGATGAGCACCACACCCCAGAGTCAGACATGACTGGACTTAATGTCAGGGGACTACCTTTACCTATCTCCCAGTGTTTTAAATTTTTTAAAAAAATTATCCTTGAATCTGGCCCTGCCTAGTGAAATTTTCTTTGTTTTAATGCTTGTTTTTTTATATTGTTGTGTCGTATATTATTTTGATTTTGCATTTTATGTATTTTGCTTGGTTCTATTATGTTTTTGTGTTATATTGTTGACTTGTATTGTACTAATGGGCGACCTCCACTTTCTGGATGTCGTGTTCATCAACAGCACTGAAGTCCAACCACACTGGAATTGACGATGCCAGTTCTTGACTCCATCATAAGATGCTTCCATCTTATGATGGAGTCCTCACCATCAATTTACGGGGAATCCTCACCATCAACCTCGTTCATCTCATCGAACATCTCCTTTGGTGTGCAGCCTTCCAAGTAAAGGAACTGGAGGACCGCTCTGTATTCCACTGGGTCCATTCTCAAACCTCACACCACTTCAGCACCTCTCACGTCAAAACCATTATCATTTCTAAGTTGTAAATTGGCACGTAACCTATAGAGACTTATATCATTACACACGTGCAGTTTCAGCGTTCTGTGCTAAATAGAAGTGGGTCAGGGGACATCTTTAATGAATGCCCGTATATTAAAGCGTTTGGCTGGTTGTGCTAAGATTTCTTTTGTGAAAGCAAAGAAAAGGACCAAGAGAGGAAAGGAAACCATCCTTCCTTCAAAGGCTATTTTCTTCTCCCTTTTTGGCTGCCTATAAGCAGCTTGCTCGTTCCCATTCATCTCCATCACATGCCAGGAGAAGTGTGTGCAGAAAACAACCTCTCAGTTCAAAGCAAAGATATAATTACACCGGAGATTTTAGGAGGAAGGAAGGAGCGAAAGGCTAAGAGCCTTAGGAAGCTTAATTCCTGGAGCCAAATGGCCGGAGGGGAGCTTTGGGGGACGACGGAAATGGGCAATTGGGGCATTTTTGCCAGATCCCCAAAAATGATGCAGAGCTCATTTGAACAAATCATGTCAGGCTTAGAACGCTGGGATATAAGCCCAAGTTGAAATCTCCACTTGGCCATCCAACGTTTTGAGCAAGTCACACTCTCTCAGCCTTAGAGGGAGGCAAGAACAAACTTCCCTCTCACAACAGGTTCAATGTAGAAGTGCCATTTGCTGGAAACGACTTGCAGGACTCATGAATGTGGGGGGCTGACTACATTTAATTCTGTCTCCATGTGCCCTGCCCGGTAACTCAAACTGACACTGTGCTGTCATGCGCTGGGCCTGTGAAAGAGTCTGTAGACAGGACGTGTTTTCTGAATGCCCAACGGGACACCGGGGGTGCCTTGGCTGAGAGGCCCTTCGGATTTCCCCACACAAAGTTCTTTTAAAGACTTAGAAAGTTCAACAAAGTATTTATTGTTGCTTAAATCTTCAATATACTAAACAAATACTTCAAGGCTTTGAATCAACTGATGGCTTGCTTAAATCTTGTCCACAAGGGACAGGCAACTTTCTTCATAAACGAAGATTCAACTTCAGAAAGGCAGATTGGACTAAATTCTCAGACACGTTAGATGACATGATCATATCGGTCGCGCCAATCCCTGAGGAATACGAGCACTTCACTGAAATAGTGAAAACCTGCTCACGGGCCTCTATACCGAGAGGCTGCAGAACCAACTACCTTCAGGGCATTACTTATGAAATTGTTAGAAAACTATTACAGGCTCCACAACGAAGACCCATTTAGTGAGCAAACCCTTCAGGCAGGGCAGAGCATTGTGTCTTCCATCTCTGAAGCCAAGAAAGAACAGTGGATAAAGCTGATCACAGAGGTCAACATGGGCAGGAGCAGCCAGAAGGAGTGGAGGCTGCTAAGACGGTTGAGCAATGACCCCTCACAAACTAATACCCATGCCAACATAAAGGCAGATCAGATAGCACACCAACTCTTGAAGAATGGGAAACCCAACCTTGCCACCAAAGTAGGAAAGAAACCAATAGCCAGACAATTGAGAGATTGAGAACAACAACCTTCATGAACCTTTACATCTACTGAATTGATCATGGCTCTCAATAAATGTAAAAATGGCAAAGCAGCTGGACTGGATGATCACCAGATGGAACAAATAAAGAACTTTGGCCCAAAAGCAAGGTGCTGGCTGCTGGAGTTGATGAACAACTGCACTGCATCCTGTCAGATCCCCAAAATCTGGAGGAAAGCAAGAGTCATCACCATCTTGAAGCCAGGCAAAGACCGTAATGATCCAAAAAGCTATAGACCAATCTCCCTGTTGTGTGACCGTTACAAAGTTCTGGACAGACTTATTTTGCATAGAATTATGGAAAAAATAGATCCATGTCTGATTCCACAGCAAGCTGGCTTCAGGAAAGGCAAAAGCTGCACATCGCAAGTGTTGAACCTGACTCAGCACATAGAAGATGGCTTTGAAAGGCAGCAGATCACAGGAGCTGTCTTCATAGACCTGTCAGCGGCTTATGATACTGTAAACCACCACCTCCTCCTGAGAAAAATGTATAGTATCACAAAGGACTACCACCTCACCGCCTCATAGGAAACCTGCTACAAAACAGGAGCTTCTTTGTTGAGTTCCAGGGCCAGAGAAGCAGATGGCAGAAACAGAAGAACGGCCTGCCTCAGGGGAGCGTGCTTGCTCCATCCATGTTCAACATCTACACAAATGACCAGCCACTGCCAGAAGGGCAGAGAGTTTCATCTATGCTGATGATCGTGCCATTACTGCTCAAGCAGGGAGCTTTGAGATGGTAGAACAGAAGCTTTCCGAAGCTTTAGGTGCTCTTACTGCCTATTACAGGGAAAACCAGTGATCCCTAATCCATATAAAACACAGACATGTGCCTTTCACCTTAAGAACAGACAAGCATCCCGAGCTCTGAGGATTACCTGGGAAGGAATCCCACTGGAGCATTGCAGCGCACCAAATACCTGGGAGTCACTCTGGACCATGCTCTGACCTACAAGAAGCACTGCCTGAACATCAAGCAAAAAGTGGGTACTAGAAACAATATCATACGAAAGCTGACTGGCACAACCTGGGGATCACAACCAGACACAGTGAAACATCTGCCCTTGCGCTATGCTACTCTACTGCCATGTCCAGTGTGGAACACATCTCACCACGCTAAAACCGTGGGTGTGGCTCTTAATGAGATATGCCGCATTATCACAGGGTGTCTGTGTGCTACACCACTGGAGAAATTACACTGTTTAGCTGGTATTGCACCACCTGACATCCACCATGGAGTAGCAACCAATAGTGAAAGGACCAAGGCAGTGATATCTCCAGCTCATCCCTTGTTTGGGTATCAGCCAGCACGTCAACGACTTAAATCAAGAAATAGTTTTCTAAGATCTACAGAGACACTCGCTGGAACACCTCAGCAAGCGAGAGTCCAAAAGTGGCAGGCTCAAACCCAGAACCTCAATCAATGGCTGATACCAAATGAGAAACTCCCCCTGGGCACAGAAAACTGGGCGACTTGGAAGGCGCTGAACAGACTGCGCTCTGGCACCACGAGATGCAGAGCCAACCTTAAGAAATGGGGCTACAAAGTGTAATCCACATGCGAGTGTAGAGAAGAGCAAACCACTGACCACCTGCTGCAATGCAACCTGAGCCCTGCTACATGCACAATGGAGGACCTTCTTGCGGCAACACCAGAGGCACTCCAAGTGGCCAGATACTGGTCAAAGGACATTTAATCAACTACCAAGCTTGCAAACTTTGTGTTTTGTCTGTTTGTTTTTTGTTTTGTCAAAAAAAGGTAATACAAATGTCTGGTTGCTCCTGACACGATAAATAAAAGTGGGAAAGTAACAGTGCTCCATACAGTCTTGCCGGCAACATGATCTTGGAGGTGTCTACAGACAATGCCAGCTCTTCGGCTTAGAAATAGAGATGGGCTCTAAGTGTTGTTTTCCTACATAAACCCTTCCATGAAACAGATATATAAGCTATATCTGAGCAATAACACCTTCATTCATTCACAAACAAATGTCTTGCAAAGAAATGAAGCTCTGATTTGTCTATGCGCATAAAAACACAAATATTTGCATGCTTTAGATCTCACGCAACAACTCATGGGCACCCATGTGGCCCTACGCACATATCTGCTGTCCATGGAGAGAAAGAAAAACCCCTTCAAATTGGAGGTAATGTTGAGACACGGCCTTTCAGCGAGCCAAGGAAACTTATAATCACTTTACAAAGGATGCATATTCAAATATTAACAGGTGAAAGGCTTTAAAAGGGTTAATAGCTGGCAAGATAATTAAGTGGACCAATAAAAGTTATTTTTTACCCAGCCTTTGTTCTCTATTAAAAGCAGCTGCTTTGATAAGGCTCATAAAGAGAGAAACCAGGGTTCTTCAAAGCTCCAGGATCAAAACCCACATTCACTGGAGGTTTCCCTACAGAATGTCAGCTAATCCAGTACAGTCTGACTGGCAGCAATAATTTCCAAAGTTACCTGACTGTCTTTGAAGCTTTGAAGCAGGAGTGAAGTTGTGGCCTTCTGAACACACTCAACCCAATTGCAGAAGTAAAGCAAAGTCAGATTGGTTAATACCTGTGTGGAAGATCAATAGAAAAATACCAGGGATTTCTAGGGAGGTTGGAAAGAATCCCAGCTCAAGACCCTAATAGACAATAGACCAGCGGTTCTCAACCTTCCAAATGCTGCAATTCCTTAATACATTTTTCATGTGGTGGTGACCCCCAACCATAACATTATTTTCGTTGCTACTTCATAACTGTAATTTTGTGACTGTTATGAATCATCATGGAAATATCTGAAAGGCAGGATGTAATTTCATTCAAGGCATCAAATACCCAATATGCCCACATTTGGGGTTGGAGAGGAGGATTGATTTTGTCATTTGGGAGTTGTAGTTGCTGGGAATACTCAATATGCCCAAATGTGAACACTGGTGGAGTTTGGGGAGAACAGACCTTGACATTTGGGAGTTGTAGTTGCTTGGATTTATAGTTCACCTACAATCAAAGAGCATTCTGAACTCAAATTTGTGCATATTGGGTATTTGTGCCAAATTTCGTCCAGTGAATGAAAACACATCCTGCATATCAGATATTTACATTACGATTCATAACAGTAGCAAAATAACAGTTATGAATTAGCAAAAAAATGTTATGGTTGGGGGTCACCACAACATGAGGAACTGTATTGAGGGGTCACGGCATTAGGAAGGCTGAGAACCACTGCTCTAAATAAATAATAAATAAATATTATTATGTTTATTTATAACACGCTTATTCTCTCAACAAGGAGACTCAAAGTGGCTTTGAGGAGCACTGCCTTAGAAGATCAGGAATGACAAGCAAGCTGTCTCTTAAGAAAGTATATTCACCATTACAGATCTTTGTGCCAAGGATCTTAGATAAACTTTCTCAGGAGCTTCCTGGAATAGAGTTTGAAGGCAAAGAGGCCATTCAACTAGTGGTGGTACTCCAACACACCTCCTTCCCAAGAACCTTTTCAAGCTCCAGAGCAGTGGTTCTCAACCTTCCTAATGCTGCAACCCCTTAATACAGTTCCTCATGTTGTGGTGACCCCTAACCATAAAATTATTTTCATTGCCAATTCATAACTGTAATTTTGCTATTCTTACAAATCGTAATGTAAATATCTGATCTGCAGGATGTATTTTCATTCACTGGACCAAATTTGGCACAAATACTCAATACACCCAAATGGGGTTGAGGGCGGTTGAGTTTGTCATTTGGGAGTTGTAGTTGCTGGGATTTATAGTTCGCCTACAATCAAAGAGTATCCTGAACTCCACCAATGATGGAATTGAATCAAACTTGACACACAGAATTCCCARGACTAACAYAAAATACTGGAAGGGTTTGGTGGGCATTGACCTTGAGTTTTGGAGTTGTAGTTCACCTACATCCAGAGAGTACTGTGGACTCAAGCAATGATGGATATGGGCCAAACCTGGCACGAATACTCAACATGCCCAAATGCCAACAAYGAAAATAGACCTTGACATTTGGGAGTTGTAGTTACTGGGATTTATAGTTCACCTACAATCAAAGAGCAATCTGAACCCTACCAACGAAAGAATTGGGCCAAACTTCCCACACAGAARCCCCATGACCAACATAAAACACTGTTTTCTCTGATGGTCTTTGGRGACCCCTTTGACARCACCTTGCGACCCCCGCAGGGGTCCCGACCCCCAGGTTGAGAAACACTGCTCCAGAGGTTTAGGAAAGAGATCAGATGGAGAACCGCCACCAGTGGGGAAAACCTTTGGCTTCAATACTCCAATCTTGGAAGCTCCTGAGAAGAACTATCCAAGATCCCTAGCAAGTTCTGCATGTTCGATATGTACATTGAGAGCATCTCTCTCTCTCTTTTTTTTTTTTACCTCGCTTGAACTCCTCCAGCACGGCGTCCAGCTTGGTGTCATTGAAGACGAAATGGAGCGGGTGGTTGTAGAACTTGATGATGGTGCTGAGAGGGGTGCAGTCGTCCGGGTCCACCAAGGCTAGGTCCTTGACGTAGAGCATGTCCACCAGGTTGGTGCGCTCCTCCTCATAGACGGGGATGCGGGTGTAGCCGCTTTGCATGATGGTGGACATGTGGTTGAAGTCCAGCACCGCGTTGGCGTCCAGCATGAAGCACTGGTCCAGCGGCGTCAGGACGTCCTCCACCGTCTTGTTCCGCAGGGCCCCTTTGCTGAACTCTTCCCGCACGAACTCGTTGTATGGGTCACTGTTGCGTACCATGTCCAGGATCTTCTCCCGCAAGAGGCAGGTGCTGGTGTCGTGGTGGAAAGCCAACTCCAGCACTTTGCTGAGGGGCAACGAGATGGGAAACGTCAACAGCATGCAGAGCTGGGTCAACCACAAGCCACGAGGGGCCAGCAGGAGCCCCCAGCGCGAGCTGATGGCGAAGGGCAGCACCTCCGCCAAGAGGAAGACCAAGCCAGCTACTCCTAGGATGGCGGGCGCTAGGAGTCCCACAGCGCGGTAGAAAAGCACCGCCAAGGCAGCATTGGCCACAGAACTTAGGAGTAGCAAGGAGCAGAGCACGAAGGTCCCTCGTTGCCGGATGGGCTCCAGCGTCTTGGAGGCCTCTCTTTCAGACTCGGAGCCACAATCCCGAAGGACGTAGAGCTCCGCCGGGTCCAGCCACAAGGTCCCGAGTTGCAAAGTCCGCAGAAGGGACAAGAGAGCAAGGAGTAGGGCCACTAAGGTGCCCAAAAGCCACGGCGCCAAGGGAACGGGCAAGGCCAACGTGGCCACTTTCCCGCCGGGGACACCACCACCGCCGCCGCCTTCGTCTTCGGTGACTAAGATCGCGTCCCCCGGAGCGGCCGGAGCCCACGAGTGACCGGTTGGTCCGACCGGGCTGCAGAGACGGTACTCTCCCCTGGCGCCGAGCGGGGCCACTTTGACGGTCACCAAGGCAGCGTGGTCCCCAAGCGGTTGGATGTCGTGGACGCGGACCTCGCTGGCCGAACTGACCGCACAAGGGTCCCCTGTGGCCACGAAGGCCACCCAAGGGCCCGTCCGGTTGCTGAGGCCGGTGCCATAGAGCCTCAGGCGGAAAGTGGCCCCTGGAGTGGCCTTGACTAGGCCCCCAGTGGCCGAGGCGCCTTCCTCCAAGCGGAAGCCCAGCACCTTAAGGTGGGAAGAGCTGCCTTCCTGCAGCCCCTTGGCCTCCAGGTTCTGAGGGCCCTTCCTGTCTTGAGTGGCCCCTGGCTCCTGAGGGCCCTTGCCCACCAAGGCCTGTGCTAGTGCGCCTGCGCAGAAGAGCCACAGCCAGCTGCCACTGCCCACCATGGCTGGAGCCAGATGCAGCAGCAGCAGCAAAGAAGTGGGAGTGGACTGAGCCAAAGCGCGCAAGGGAGGGGAGGACGAGCCTGTCAGCTGACTCCCCTCTGCCGCACTCTAACCTAGCTACAGCCGAGTCGGCCAACACGTGCGCGCCGCTGGACTCCATCCGCCAATAGGAGGCCACCTGGGCGCGGCCATTCACAAACGAGGAGGGGGGAAACGGCACTCAAGTTCGGTGGCGCCGTGTTATAAACAAGGAGGAGGAGGGGGTGGAAGGAAGGAGCGCGCTGGGATTTAAAGGGGCCGCGGCTCTTTCTTTTGTCTCCAACTCTCTCTTTTGGACTTCAGCTCCCAGAAGTCAACCAGCAAGGAAATGATGGATTTCCATGCACAATCAAATCACCTCTCAAAGAAAGATTCCCCCAGACACTCCAGCCAATCAAATGCTAATCAAGGTGGTCAGTTGAAACATTCACACCTAGCTCCAGCAGACAAGAGTCCTTTGTCCCACCCTGGTCTTTCCACAGATATATAAACCCACTTTCCTACTTCCAACAGACCTCACTACCTCTGAGGATGCTTGCCATAGATGCAGGCGAAACGTCAGGAGAAAATGCCTCTAGAACATGGCCATAAAGCCATGATGGAAAACATGGTGTTGGGATTTCCATGTACAATCAAATCACCTCTCCAAGAAAGATTCCCCCAAGCACTTCCAAGCCATTAAATGCTAATCAAGGTGGTCAGTTGAAACATTCACACCTAGCTCCAGCAGACAAGAGTCCTTTGTCCCACCCTGGTCTTTCCACAGATATATAAACCCATTTTCCTAGTTCCAACAGACCTCACTACCTCTGAGGATGCTTGCCAAAGATGCAGGCGAAACGTCAGGAGAAAATGCCTCTAGAACATGGCCATAAAGCCATGATGGAAAACATGGTGTTGGGATTTCCATGTACAATCAAATCACCTCTCCAAGAAAGATTCCCCCAAGCACTTCCAAGCCATTAAATGCTAATCAAGGTGGTCAGTTGAAACATTCACACCTAGCTCCAGCAGACAAGAGTCCTTTGTCCCACCCTGGTCATTCCACAGATATATAAACCCTTTTTCCTATTTCCAACAGACCTCACTACCTCTGAAGATGCTTGCCAAAGATGCAGGCGAAATGTCAGGAGAGAATGTCTCTAGAACATGGCCATATAGCCCGAAAAAACCCACAACAACCCAATGGAACAACTGATATCAACAGTCACCTCTCAACAAAAGATTCCCCCAGGCACTTCCAAGCCATTAATGCTAATCAAGGTGGTCAGTTGAAACATTCACACCTAGCTCCAGCAGACAAGAGTCCTTTGTCCCACCATGGTCTTTCCACAGATATATAAACCCATTTTCCTAGTTCCAACAGACCTCACTACCTCTGAGATGCCATAGATGCAGGCGAAACGTCAGGAGGGAATGGCTCTAGACCATGGCCATATAGCCCCAAAAACCCTACAACAACCCAGTGATTCTGGCCATGAAAGCCTTCGACAATACATAACATTATTTCATTACTACTTCATAACTGTAATTATGCTACTGTTGTGAATCGTTATGTAAATATCTGATGTGCAGGACACTTCACCTGTCCGAACGTATCTCCCTCCACGAACCACCAAGGACCTTAAGATCATCCGGCAAGGCCCTGCTCTTGGTCCCACTGCCATCGCAGTCGTGTTTGGTGGGGACGAGAGACAAGGCCTTCTCTGTGGTGGCCCCTCGACTGTGATACTCCCTCTCTAATGAGATTTGATTTGCCCTATCCCTCCTGACCTTTCTGATGATAAGGTTTTAGTAGACCCCCAGGCACTTCCAAGCCATTCAATGCTAATCAAGGTGGTCAGTTGAAACATTCACACCTAGCTCCAACAGACAAGAGTCCTTTGTCCCACCCTGGTCTTTCCACAGATATATAAACCTATTTTCCTACCTCTCACAACCACCATGTCAGACTACACAGAGAAGCCATTGAAATCCATAAGCATGTGGACAATTTCAACAGAAAGGAGGAAACCATAAAAATGAACAAAATCTGGCTACCAGTATTAAAAAAAACTCTAAAATTACAACAGCAAAACAGCAGAGAGGAAACAAACAAGGACATCTAATCACCTCTCAACAAAAGATTGCCCCAGGCACTGCCAGGCCATGAAATGCTAATCAAGGTGGTCAGTTGAAACATTCACACCTAGCTCCAGCAGACAAAAGTCCTTTGTCCCACCCTGGTCTTTCCACAGATATATAAACCCATTTTCCTAGTTCCAACAGACCTCACTACCTCTGAGGATGCTTGCCATAGATGCAGGCGAAACGCCAGGAGAAAATGCCTCTAGAACATGGCCATAAAGCCCGGAAAACCTACAACAACCCAGTGATTCCGGCCATGAAAGCCTTCGACAATACATTTCCCATGTACAGTTCTTACTTACTTAGGGGATCCCTCGTTGGACGAGTAAGATGGTCTTCCTTGATTACTATTTTTGTGGGTTTGTAGGTGGCTGTGGAGCCCTATTCTTGACCAGCATCTTCTCCCACAGTGAAGGCATTGGTTTCCAGGTGGAAGGCGGTCCCGGTCGGGGTTGGCTGGACGCGCCTTCCTCCTGGCACATTTCTCTCTTTTACCCTCCACTCGTGCCTCCTCGAATTCTGCAGCACTGCTGGTCACAGCTGACCTCCAGCTGGAGTGGTCAAGGGCCAGGGCTTCCCAGTTCTCAGTGTCTATGCCAGAGTTTTTAAGGTTGGCTTTGAGCCCATCTTTCAATCTCTTTTCCTGTCCACCAAAATTCCGTTTTCCATTCTTAAGTTGAGAGTAGAGCAACTGCTTTGGGAGACGGTGGTCAGGCATCCAGACAATGTGGCCGGTCCAGCGGAGTTGATGTACAGTTCATCTACACCAGGCATGGGTAAACTTGGGCCCTCCCTCCAGGTGTTTTGGACTTCAATTTCCAAAATTCCTAACAGCCTCAGGCTCAATGTATTGTCGAAGGCTTTCATGGCCAGAATCACTGGGTTGTTGTAGGTTTTTTCGGGCTATATGGCCATGTTCTAGAGGCATTTTCTCCTGGCGTTTCGCCTGCATCTATGGCAAGCATCCTCAGAGGTAGTGAGGTCTGTTGGAACTAGGAAAAAGGGGTTAATATATCTGTGGAATGACCAGGGTGAGACAAAGAACTCTTGTGTGTTGGAGCTAGGTGTGAATGTTTCAACTGACCACGTTGATTAGCATTTCATGGCCTGGCAGTGCCTTGGCAATCTTTTGTTGAGAGGTGATTAGATGTCCTTGTTTGTGGATTTCAATGGCGTCTCTGTGTAGTCTGACATGGTGGTTGTGAGAGTGGTCCAGCATTTCTGTGTTCTCAAATAATATGCTGTGTCCAGATTGGCTCATCAGGTGCTCTGCTATGGCTGACTTCTCTGGTTGAAGTAGTCTGCTGTGCCTTTCCATACATCAAGGGAATCACTGACCGCATAAGGAAGCTGATGAGGAAACACAACATACAAACAATCTACAGACCCACCAAGAAAATCCAACAAATGCTACGTTCAGCAAAGGGCAAGAGGGATCCTCTCACTTCTGCAGAGTCTACCGTATACCATGCAGCTGTGGACAAGTCTACATAGGGACCACCAAACGCAGCATTGCCCAAACACAAATCAAGGAACATGAAAGGCACTCCAGACTACTTCAACCAGAGAAGTCAGCCATAGCAGAGCACCTGATGAACCAACCTGGACACAGCATATTATTTGGATCTGCACCAAACTTGGCATGCATACGCGATATGCCCAAATTTGAATACTGGTGTATTTGGAGGGGAATTGGCCTGGACATTTTGGAGTTGTAGGTACTGGGATTTATAGTTCACCTGCAATCAATGTGCAATGTGCACTCTGAAAGATGGAATTGGACCAAACTTGGCACACAAAGCCCCAATGAGCAGCAAAAAATACTGGAGGTATTTCGAGGATATTCACCTTGATTTGGGGGAATTGTAGTTCACCTACATCCAAAGAGCACTGTGAACCCAGACATGGATAGATCTGGATCAAACTTGGCACACAGACCTGATATGCCAACATTTGATTACTGGAGGGGTTTGGGGGGACTGACTTTCCATTCTGGGAGTTGTAGTTCACCTACAATCAGAGAAATGGTGACCTCCACTGATTTTTTTTGTCGTGTCAGGAGTGACTCCTGTTGTGAGAGAATTGGCTGTCTGCAAGGACGTTGCCCAGGGGACTCCTGGATGATTTGATGTTTTTATCATCCTTGTGGGAGGCTTCTCTCATGTCCCCGCATGAGGAGCTGGAGCTGATAGAGGGAGCTCATCCGCCTCTCCCCGGATTCGAACCTGCGACCTGTCGGTCTTCAGTCCTGCCGGCACAGGGGTTTAACCCACTGCGCCACATGATGGACCTGCACCAAACTTGGCACACAAAACTTACTCAACCTACTGGAGGGGTTGGAGGGGACTGACTCATCATAGTGGGAGCTGTAGTTTACCCTACAACCAGAGAGCACACTGAACCCCACTGATGATGCATCTAGACCAGGCATGGGCAAACTTTTTTGTCTTGGGGCTGCATTATGGGCTCAGCTGAGAGGGCCGGGTTAGGAAGGAGGGTGACCAGGCACATGCTGGGTGAAATGGGCCCAGGAGAGAGAGGGCCCGGGAGAGGGCAGGGACCGGTAGGGGGCGGAGCAGGGCAGGTCCCATGTCATCCTCAAGTGGTCCTTCTCACATAAGGGCAGGGCAGCTCGTCCCATCCTTATGCCGAGAAGAAAATGAGACATGTGATGACTGATCCAATCCTCCCACCTCTGATCTTCAGGCTGTCCTTTCGGCATTATGCCGGGAGGAGGGCAAGACAGGCAACAACCAAGAGTGCTCCAGAGTGCTCTTAGGACGTTGCCCAAGGGACGCCCAGATGATTTGATGTTTTTATCATCCTTGTGGGAGGCTTCTCTCATGTCCCCACATGAGAAGCTGGAGCTGATCCGCCTCTCCCCGGATTCGAACCTGCGACCTGTCAGTCTTCAGTCCTGCCTCTACGTCCCACCTCTTAACCTAAGATCATC